TGTTCACACTGGCACTTGTCACTGCAAAACTTTTGTCTTTCGGGGTGGGAGAGGGGTTAACACCTCTGAAAGACAAAAGTTTTGTCGTTCAATTGCCAGTGTAGACCCCCCCCACCATCTACTGCCTTCCGGGGTGTGTGGATTACTTACATTGCGAGGAAAATCACTCCTGTCTGCTTGGCTCTGTTTCTGCATGTGGGCGTAGACAGAGCCTGCTCTCTCACTCCAGCCAACCATCAGAAAGTGGAGTGTTTCCCGTGTGTTGTGAGTACATAGCCATCATTTGAAGAAAGTGAATCAGTAATTAGGAACCAGGGCAAATCCTATGTTCCTCAAATGCGTAAATAGCTGGTTGCTTGCTTTGTGTGCCTCCCTCCCTCGGTCACTGTGGTGCTTGCCTCACTCTCCCTGCCTCCATGACCATCTCCATCCTCTCCCAGGGATTCCTAGTTTTCCTCTTTTCCTTCTCCATCGTCCTATTAACTCACCCCCTTCTATCACTTCCCCTCACTCCACACAAAAAAGCCTCTGGTTTTGGGGGTGCTATGGATCTAACAAACTGAGTGCCCGTCACCCTGAACCCTTTGCTTGTATGTTTTATCCCTTTCCCAAAGAGTTTACAATCTCATGCCACACTCCTGTGAACATTTATGCAACTGCATATCTTTATACTGACATAAGGGCAGTGCAGGCAGGTGGGGAGAGGAACTCCTTCCTCAGCCCAGCCCAGGTGCGCCAGAGCTGCTGGGGACAGGAGCCTCCTCCGGCCCGGCCCAGCCAGGAGGCGCCTCTCACCCAGCCCTGAGCTGCTGCGGCAAGAGAGGGCTGGGGGAGTCCTCTCTCCCCACTACAGCCTGCATCCCACACCCACGGCCCCACCCCAGAGCCTGCACCTCCTGTGCCCCAGCCCAGAGCCCCCTTTGCACCCCATACCCTCATTCCTGGCAACACCTCAGAGCCCTCATCCCTAGCCGGAGCCCTTACCCCCTGCCCCCAACTCTCTGCCCCAGCCCTGAGCCCCCTCCCGCACCCCAAACCCCTCATTGCCAGCCCCACCCCAGAGCCCTCACCCCCAGCCCTTACCCTCCCTACAACCCAACCCTCTGCCCCAGCCCTGAGCCCCCTCCCACACTCAGAATCCCTCGACCCCACCCCACCACATAATTTTGTTATGTGCACCAATATGAAGGTGATGTGTCACACATCACCTCCATATTGGTGAACATAACTAAATTCATTCTACACATGGACATAAAAAATTAGAGGGAACACTAGTTACATCCCTGACCATCTTGACTAATAGCCATTGATAGATAAGTTCATGATGGATAGTCTAAGGGAATGTCTACGTTACACAGCTTTTATAGAACCCGAACCACCAAAAAAGAAAATCAACTTTCTTCTGGTGGCATCTGACGCAGATAATGAAAATGAACATGCGTCGGTCCGCACTGCTTTGGATTGTTATCGAGCAGAACCCATCGTCAGCATGGACGCATGTCTCCTGGAATGGTGGTTGAAGCATGAAGGGACATATGAATCTTTAGCGCATCTGGCACGTAAATATCTTGCGTTGCCAACTACAACACTACCATGAGAACGCCTGTTCTCACTTTCAGGTAACATTGTAAACAAGAAGCGGGCAGCATTGTCTCCTGCAAATATAAACAAACTTGTATGTCTGAGCGATTGGCTGAATAAGAAGTAGGACAGAGTGGACTTGTAGGCTCTAAAGTTTGATATTGTTTTATTTTTGAATGCAGGTTTTTTTTGTACATAATTCTACAGTTGTAAGTTCAACTTTCATGATAAAGAGATTGCACTACAGTACTTGTATTAGGTGAATTGAAAAATACTATTTGTTTTGTTTTTTACAGTGCAAATACTTGTAATCAAAAATAAATATAAAGTGAGCACTGTACACTTTGTATTGTGTGGTAATTGAAATCAGTATATCTGAAAATGTAGAAAACATCCAAAAATATTTAAATGAATGCTATATTATTAACAGTGTGATTAATCATGCGATTAATTTTTTTAATCACTTGACAGCCCTAAAATATAGGACCTGAATTATAGCTGTGTGTTAAGCTGCGTGTTTAACTGCGTGTTTGTTTACACCATGTTCTGAGTGCCTCCCCTCTAGATTTCCTTGTGACCCTTCTTCCCTGCTGTCTTTTAGATTGTAAGCAATTTAGGTCAATGGCTATCTGCATTATATTCTTGCATCATATTCAGTGCCAGACATATTTCTATGCTTCAAGGTTCTTTTTAGAATGTCTATTTTTCTACCAAAGAAAATAAAATTATATAAAGATTCATGTAAATCTGATGTTTGCCCCTCACTGTACAATCTGTCAGTTTTTAAGAGTTCATATGAAAGGGTGGATAATAAATCTGGTAAGCTTCACACTTTAGAGATCATTGCAATTTCCCTTCAACACATACCCATTTCTCATATTAAACAGGTTATATTCAAGAATCATGAGTTACAGCTCCAAAAATAATTAAAACTAAAAGCAAAAGTCAGAGCCAGCCTTATGCACACGCAAAGCTAGCAGCTGCTGGGAGTTTCAAGTCCCCTGTATGATCTGCAGAGATCTCCTTCTGCAGTGGGAGGAGGCAGCTCCTCACTGCTTTGATGCTCTTGGCTGTGTAGTAGCCCAAGTTTAATGATGAGCTTGAGCAACACTGTCAGATAGCCAGCTCACAGAGCAGATTCTACTCCTGTACAGCTAATGTTGACTGCAATAACGTTTTACTTGACTGCCAAACCCCACATTAGCTGATGAATACCTTATTTGTTCTAAAAACCTTGATGAAACCTTAATCTGAATGTTATTTTTCAGTTGTCTTTTGGGGTCTGGCAAATTGTTTCTTCATCAATTTGATGGTTATTGAAAATTTTGCCTATTTCCAGCTACATTCTCTAGTAGACAATGTTCTTCCCTGGAGACATTTTTCCTATGATCAGCAAGAAAAAAAAAAAATCAGTAAGTGAACATGAATAATTAGAGTAAAAGTTGATTAAGATTTTTAATGTATTAGATGGAGGAAGTAAAAACACTGAAGTTTGGTTTTGTCTGGATGAGAATACAGGAGTTAAAACAGACAGTAGTCTGGAACAGTGTTCAGTAGAAGCCACTGCTCCTGTGTATGAACTGAATAGACACACTGGATGTATGGCTTATTACAACAATCTGTAACCTACTTAACCCCTCCCCCCAGCTTTTTTTTCTTTTCTTTTCCCCCTCTGACTGGAAGGGTGTTAACGGACCACTCCACCTTTGAAGTATCAGAGGAGTAGCCATGTTAGTCTGAATCTGTAAAAAGCAACAGAGGGTCCTGTGGCACCTTTAAAACTAACAGAAGTATTGGGAGCATAAGCTTTCGTGGGTAAGAACCTCACTTCTTACTTGCATCTGAAGAAGTGAGGTTCTTACCCACGAAAGCTTATGCTCCCAATACTTCTGGTAGTCTTAAAGGTGCCACAGGACCCTCTGTTGCTTTCCACCTTTGAAATGTGTTAACTACTTATGCTAAGCAATCTGTTCCACCTTCTATTAGCTGTGACACTGAGTTCACTTCCCAGACCTAAAGAGCTGTCTAAGCTCGAAAGCTTCTTTCTCTCACCAACAGAAGTTGGTCCAATAAAAGATATTACCTCACTCACCTTGTCTCTTCAGTGAAGACACTCCTGCCATTTGCCAGGCTGAGCCATTTCTCTTTCAAACTGTGGTTAGCATGGGGGAAATGGCTTCTTTATGCTCAGAGTAGGATCCTGATCAACAGCAGCAAGGTAACAGGCATGATATTGGCATTCTTCCTTTTTTGCCAGTGTTTTCATGCTCCTTTTGAAAACGAACTTCAGTGATGCTGCAGCTGGAAATGGAAAACTCTTCTAGTTGCCTATAGTACAAAGTTCTGTGCACAAGAATGCACATACTGGGTAATTCTCTTACTGCTAATAAACAGTTCACATGTTCTTTCTAAATTTCACCTTATTGGTTTCGTCCATTTCTTTTCACGGTTTGCTGTGCTACATTCTTTACTGTACATTAATGAACTAAAATTAAAAAAGTGAGACATGCTTAAGTTTATCCTCTATAATCAATATCTCTCATTATTGCTGCACAGGGCTTCAGAAGGACTGAATTCAGCAAAAACTCTATGGTAGAAATCCGTCAATCTTGGAGTGGAAGGCAGTTATTTTAATGGGAAAATGACCAAAGAAATCTTGGATTAATGTTGGACTAACCAGAATTTTGGTGAGTGACAAATAATGGAACAGGTGTCTAAGGTATAAAAGCCAGCTTTCTTAGAGAATACTGAATTCTTTAAGCATAGGAAATCAAGTAAGAAAGAGTGTGCACTGAAGCCAAAACGAAATAAACTTTTAGTAGATTGAAGGAGGGGCAGCTCTCACCAGATCAGCCCAGGAGAGGGAGTTGTGGTGGAGCACTGCTTGCTCAAGACAATGAAAGGAAGGGGAGTTCCTCACTTCTTTTTAGCAGAGAATGGTGAACTACACTGCCCCTGCAGCTCCTTATTTTAACCCCTAGTAACTTGGGTTCTAGTCCTGCAAACCTAAGGCCAAATCTACACTTGGAACGCTTTGCTAGTATAGCTATAATGGTATACTATACTGGCAAAGCACTCTTAGTGTGGATGCAGCAGGTTATACTGACAAACTGCTTTTGCTTATTCCAGTTCCTCTCCCGCACCCCCCGACCAAAATAAGCTATACTGGCAAAACCTGCCCAGCTATATTGGTCAGGGATCACAACATAGCAAAAATGCGTAGTATAGCCATGGCCGTACCCACTAAATTCAGTGCAGTTTTTGCATGAGTAAGATCTGCAATGGGACCCTTCAATAATAAAGCCAGTGACGTTTCTCAGCTATGGGTCAATCATGCCTGTGTTACCTACATGCCTTAAGATTCTGCCCCCTCCAAAAAAGTACTAGAATTTGTCTTGTTTAATAAAAAAGGCACAACATTTTAAGCAGTCTGGATTCGTGTTTATTGAAGCCAGTAACTAAAGACATGTCCTCATTTTTGCCAGCACTAGAAAGCAAGATTCCACATGACTGCATACTGCACCTGGTTAAAGCCATACAACTGGACTAAGGTTTGTGTTTGATACATCTGCAGTCCTAACTGTAAGTTAAAAAACATCAATAAACTTAGTATACAGGACAGTTAACTTTCATTTACAGCATGTATATTGTTAAGTTCATGATGTACAGAGCAGTCACCTTCAACGTAGTTAAATTAAATAAAATATGACAAATTCTGTTCAGTTTAAACAGTTTCTAAAACGCCAATAAAAAAAGTGCAAACTTAAAATCAAGCAGCATAACCATAGCATTTTTATGGAGGGCCAATCCTTAACCTCTATACTTGCCTTATCTTCAAGTTGATAAGTTATTTTATTTTCTGAAGTTTAAACAGAACAGTAGATGCAATCACTATAATGCATATAAATAGTCATATAATAGTTTTAACAGTCTACCATACAAGTGTATCCTGCAAATAAAATTAATTTTATTTTAAAATGTAAAGGCTGTTTGCAGTTTGGCCTTTGGTTCCAATGCTTGAAAACACCAGAAAAACAACTGTGCAGCTCTCCAAAGTTTCTAGACTTTGGCAAACAGTGGACACTACATTACTTACAACTTTCTTCCAATAAACTAGGAGCATTGACTTGCAATGAAGAACTGGAAATCAAACTTCCGTTTTGTCAGAAGCATCTCTTTACACAAGTGACAAATTGTATAATACGTTACTGGCTTTTGCTCAGTTTTAGTAGATTTAACAAATTATACTTAAATTGTAACTTTTAGCCATATTGATACAGAAAGTGCTTATCAGTTCAAATGACAAAACATTAATACAAATATGCAGTTTTGCACAGGTTTCATTACAACTGTATACCATTAGAAACGCATGCTTTTTCAATTTACGTGTCTTGCTTTTGATGTTTTATTCCCCAATCTCAATATCACAAGGACAGTATGCAATTCTTTCTTCTGGTGTGGTAACAGGATATTTTTTTTAACTTCATCTTGTCACTGGCACCTGTTACAGGCAGAACAACCACACAACCTATCTGCTGTCCAAAGCCTCTCAGTTTTCAACCATTTAGACAAATGTGTAACTCAAGGTCATAACATTAAAAAAAGTAAAAAAAAAATGGAAAAAATATAATATTTTCAAGAATAAAACTGGCACAAGTAACATGCTTTTATGTTAATGTTTGTCAAAGAGGCAAGTAAATACTCTTAGCTTTCTAGATAATGTTTAGACAGACATACAAAACAGGAAAAAGCCAGCCTCTTGATTTAACATAGGATTTGAAGTTATGTCCAGGACTGTGTTAATGGTCAATCTAATTCTGTATATTTAAGTAATGATATATATTAGGGAAGCTATATCCAGACATCAGATTTAGTACAACAAACAAGTTCATATCAATAAAAAGTAAACTCTGTATAATTCAAATTGTGGTTTTTTTCCCTTCAAAGCACAGAATATGCTTGATACAGTTCATTTATGGTAGTGTTTATGTGTAAAACAAATATACCGTGATAAAATCAAAGTGCCATTTCAGTAACTGAAGAAGTGTTTTACGGAACATTGGTTTGACGTGACCAAGGACACTACTCCATATAGCAACAGGGGACAACTGCAACTTTCCATATGAAAATGCTACATTTAGGGAAAAATACAAACTGAACAGTCACTGGTTCTATATTCTTCAGTGTACATATTCATACTCTTCAATTTATTGTTAGAATTGGAGAGTCTGCTGCAGATTGCAGCCTACATGGCTGGAACAAGAACCTTGGAAGTCTATAAAACTTCCATAGGTATAAGGCAGGAATCAGTCTGAGCTTGGTAGCCATTGTTTAATTACAAACAAGAAGTATTTGAGTATTCTGTAGCACATTTCATTATGGGAAAATGATATGTCACCCATCACTCTTAGGTTAGCCTCTTGGCATTTAAAAAAACAAGGCAGGAGCAATCAGAAAACAGGATTTGAAATTAAATACAATTGTTACCACGACTGATTTTAAAATAAAACCAAACAGTGACTGTTTGTACTACAGTGCACAATAAGTTCAAGCACCTTCTAAAGACATCACACTTTGTGCCAGGCACTTGGATCTAAGCAAGTTGTAGTTTCTCCCTGTGTTAGCTATACCAAAAAGGGCATCCCCCCATTTTATACACCTTTTGTTAAAGTAAAGACGCAATTTATAACAAGAATAATTCCCATGATGCTTAGTGTTTGGCTTGGAAATTCTCTAATTTTAAGAAGTCTTTTTAAACAGTGATTATTTGCCCTATGTTGACCACAGGATTTAGTAACTGTGTTCCCTCTCCAGTCCAGTCAGCATTCTTTATTCCTACTGAGCCAAATCTCGCGTCCCCCTACTAGTGCTGCATTTCCTACCTGGATTTCTCTCTCCTCCATCTAATTAATGCTGTGCTGTATCACCACCTTTCCAAGTACACCAATGTGTTTGCTAACATACAAATGGCCAAGTCCAGTAACTCTGAAAAGGGATTTCATGTCTTTCTTGCTTTGTGTGCAGTCAGTAGTAGTATTGCAAAAGGTATTCTGCATTTTGCTTCTCTGTGCTCTTCATAACAAGAAATTCAGCTGCTGATGTACCTGCTTATCTCCAAAATCAAGAGAATTGCCCTATATAAACTTTAAATGGTTATCTTATACAGAGGGATTTTATATGCAAACTTCCTGAATGTGCACTTTATACTGGGACAAGCCAATGAAGTTTTAAGTTCATTTCCCCTGCCCCAAGAAAACTTATAGCATCTGCCATAGCAGAAAAATCCTGGTCTTATCAGATCAATATACATAGTTATTTGGTCATTTACATATACATTTTTTAAGCGCTATCAAGCTTCATTCTCTGTTGGAGAGTTTGCTGTTACCATGGAATCGGGCTTGCGAGTCATTCTATCCAGTTCTTCTTGAACATTTGTCAAAACAGTCTTTTGCCCTAAAGAGAAAGGACAAATAGTAAGTAATACAGTTGCAATGCATTGTTTGAAATATCAGCAGCACAAATATTTATAATAATTGTTTCTGTTGGTATTTTATTTAACTTCTCATTATTTCATCCATTTTCATAGGGCCTGATCCAATTATCAATTGATGAGTATAGAAAGACTCCTAATAACATCACTGAGAAATAGATTAGGCCTTAAAATAAAGTGAGACTGCTGTATAATTCAGCTTTTAAATATGTATGATGATGTACATTGTTATGACAACTGAAATTTTAACAGCAATCATGTTAAGATGTTTCCTCCAAAAAACTAATAAGTAAACAATTCTTCCATCATTAGGATGATCATAGTATGTCAGTCATATCGAAGAGTATTTTATATGGAAATCTTTAAGTATTTAATAAGTTGCACAAGAAAAAAAAATGATATATGTGGCACTTGCTACAAAGTGTTGTTACTTTGGTTTTAATCACACTCATTGTTTCCTTCATTATTAACTGTATTGATCTCTCTCAGGAATCAAAAGTTTAATTCATATTGTGAAATTTGTGCCCTTCAAAGAAAAATGGGAAAAATGCAGATTCTTTAATACCGCATGAAGTGTTAGAATTTAAATGTGTTGCATTCATTAATTAAAATCAACAGATACTTCAGAGTAGATGTACAAATGGGAGATTTTACCCTTCTGATTTTTATACATTAGGATTAGTATTCAGTTCAGTTATAGACAGATAACTAGCAATTTGTAGTTAGTTTTGTTTTCTTCTCTCTTTATGCTTAATATATGAATTTATATTCATTTGTTAGCCTGTTTGTATCCTGGTTTATCACTGTCTGAATATGGACTTGTATATGATATATAATATTTTTTCAAGTTAAACTACGCAAATGCTAAGGTATAAATGCAAGGTTTTGAGACAGGCACTCAAAATAAAAAATAGATTAATTATATAAATAACTATGTACAGCTTCCTCCAATAGTCTTTTTCATAGCGAAAGAATTTAACAAGCATCTGTTTTCCAGCTCAGAGATGTGTGTGAAATATTAGGTGATTTTTTTCCCAGGGTACATGCTGAAAACATTAAGTGGCAAGGTATGACTGCTCAGAGATTTAAGCGCTTTTTCCAAAGGCATGACCAAGTTAAAAACAGCTATCTTTAATTTTTGCAAAGGGATAAAATACAAACTCAAGTTGCAGAGTAGCAGCCGTGTTAGTCTGTATCCACAAAAAGAACAGGAGTACTTGTGGCACCTTAGAGACTAACAAATTTATTTGAGCATAAGCTTTCGTGGGCTACAGCCCACTTCTTCGGAGATGGATTTCCACTCCATACAGCTAAATACAGTGCCTTGCATAATGACAGGTTTCAGAGTAGCATCCGAAGAAGTGGGCTGTAGCCCACGAAAGCTTATGCTCAAATAAATTTGTTAAACTCAAGTTGAAATCCCTTAGCAATATTCATATCAGCAGTACGAGTACTGAAGCATCTGTTCGAACAGTACCTATTTTCAAATACACACAAATATTAATACAAAGCCCATTTTTCTTGCATCCTATTAACACCTTTGAGTTAAAAAGGCACAAAGAAACCCTGCTCACAAAACAGAACTAGGCCTACGTTTGAAGACATCAAAAAGTAAATAAGATGTGCCAGGAGCTGGCTGCACGGAAGGGAGGCAAAGACTGTATGAGCAGCATCTGCCGAAGTGAGGAACTTCTTTCAAACATGAGCTGAAAAAAGTTTTGGAAAATAATACAACTCAAAACCATCCTGACGGACTGACATCTGTGGCATTTTTCTCAACCCAAGACATAACCCTATAATTCCTCCCACTAAAAGTAACACTGACGGATCTCTTCAAACAATACACTGAGAATAAGTTTACTACTGAAACAGATGTACTGAAGAAAGTGAGTTCTGACATTTTGCACTGTTTGCTACTTTGATTAAAATAAGTGAAATACTCTAAACAAATCTGATTGCTGTGATGTAAAGTAGTTCAACAAAAGTGTCTGGAGAAAATCTTTGTCTATATTTTAGCAACTAGTGATTTTGGGTACCCAACTTGAGGCACTATAAAGTGTCTTGACTTTCAGAAAGTACTGAGAATCCCTCTTCTGAAAATTAGGCCCTTCTAAGGGGTTTTCAGGTTGGGCACCCGAAAATCACTACACCAAGACTACTTTAGCATGTTTATTAGTGTAGAATAGGGTGCCATAGAACACCACACTTTCTAATCCTTCCAACAGTCAGTGTCATTTCAAGATATGCTCCTCAAGGACCATTTATTGAGCTTTCCTTGAATTTTTTCCCCTGTATCCTCAACTTCACTGCCTCACAAACCAATGTTAAACTCTTACCTTAGCTGAAAGTTTAATTTTGTGCTGCTTGAATAGAATCAAGAGCACATACTGTCAGACAGGAGGTAAGATTTTTCTTGTGATGGAAAGTCCATTGTGCCATTTTCAAAAAGCTATTTATTTTAGGTTTAACACCCACTTCTGCTACATAATTAAATTAAATTAAATTAAATTAATGGAGATATCCTATCTCCTAGAACTGGAAGGGACCTTGAAAGGTCATCGAGTCCAGCCCCCTGCCTTCACTAGCAGGACCAAGTACTGATTTTGCCCCAGATCCCTAAGTGGCCCCCTCAAGGATTGAACTCACAAGCCTGGGGTTAGCAGGCCAATGCTCAAACCACTGAGCTATCCCTTCCCCCATGTACTAACATACATTTTACTTTTACACTATCCACCCATATCTCATATACAACTGTTGACACTGTTTATTTTATAGCTAGTGCCTAATAATGCCCTCTGGATTTTCAAGAAGTTTCCATTTTACTGTTTTTTTTTTTTTTTTCATATAAACCTTTACAAAGTATACATCATTTGAACTGAATTTTTTTTATGCTCAATCTCTGCGTGAAGGTTTTTCGTTTTAATTTTTGAGCAAAATCCTCAACCATTTGAGCTATGAGAAGATGGAAAATAATATGCTGGGGGGAGAGGGGGAGGGGGAGGGGAAGAGACGACTTTTGAATTTTTAAGTTATACCTGCAAAAAAATTACATGCCCCTACTCCATGATAAATATTCTATTCTAGTTCCTTTATTACAGCTATCACATTGGTATCTGAGTGACAAAAAAAAAGTTTAAAGTTTGGGGCTTAGTCGGCCCTCTTAGGATTTAAACCTGTGGTAATACTAAGTGACTTGAGAAATTTGAAAAACAATAAACAGGAGCCATATATTTATCCACTGCATTATGAATAAGTTTTCAAAGTACATAGAAGCATGAATTTAATGGAAAAAGAAGAGAGGAAGCCAATATCAAAGTTGAAAGGAGACATGGTTACAGCAGCAGTAAAGGAAGGTAATCTTGGGGGCTGCCTTTTGGGTGGAATTATTATGCAACTATGTATATTAGAAAACTGAATTCATTCATTTTTATGATGTAGGTGCCAAAAATCCTGAAGGTTTAACTTTTGTGTTCCTTCAACCTACTGTAACTGTTCATTAGAGCCACAACTACATATATATGATTGAGTCTTTGATCAAAGCTGACAATTGCTTTTGATGATACTTTAATTAAACACTTATTACTGCAGCTTTAAGACATTCCTTCATATTAGTTGCTACGTATTAATTTAAACTTGAATGCCAGAGAGATTTTAGGGATTTGATTGGAAACAGCAGCCTAAAACAAATAAGCTAAATTTCTTCCTCTCAGGTAAGTAGTAGCGAAGTGCCACATAGATAGAATTCAGAAATAAAGTTTAAATTACAAGGTAGATTAATACCTTCCGAATACAATCAAGGCTCAGTGCTGTTTATTTCCCAGCAGTGCAACTTCATTAAAAGAGTCAAGCTATAGAAAGTTTAATAGCAACCCCAAAGTCTGCAAAACTGTAAGAAGAGACTTTTTATCCTGGCTCCATATCATATCCCTCAAGTTCTGTTATTTGACTGATCAGCTTAAATGATAAGCACGTTGATTTAAATGTGGTCCAAGTAAAATATTAAAAATATGCAAAACATCCTGCAACAACAGATTTTCAATACCTGATTTTTTGGCTGTGGTCTGCACTCCTCCAGCTCCAGGACTCCCAGGAGGGCCAGTCTTTTTACTCAACAGACTGTTAAAGAAGCTAGCCAACACACCTTCACTTGCAGCATTGTCTAATAAAAAAAACAAATAATCAATAATAACTTATTACTTTTTGGAAATCAGAAATTCTAAAACATATGTATACCTACATTTCTCTAAGTGTTAGGAAAAAAAATATGTTACACACACACTAGCCAAAAGAGAAAAATCTCAAGTATGGGACAGACTGTCTCACTTATCCAGCCCCTATTTGCTGCTAGTTCCTCCTTTACCATCCTCCACACATTTGCACTCTGGCACAGGAGGCATGTAGGGACAGCGCTGTAGCATAGATTGCCAAGGAGGATTCTGGGATGCACGAGCTCCTGAAGTAGCCCAGAATCCCAAGATGTAAGGGTGGCTTAAGGCACCTTGTTTCTCCCTGACTGTGCCCTCTGTGCTGAGCCTCTTAAAGGTGCAGCGAAGAATTTCAACCTAAATCTATGCGCTTCAGCTTTTCCTTGTCTAGATGGGAAATGTAAGTCTCATGGACTAGATGGTGTCTATACACCAGGTTTATCTAAAGATTTTTTAGCAAATTAATTGTCCTAGTATTTCAGCTGCCGTTCTTCAGCCTCATTCTAAAACAGGAGTGGAATTTCTGTGGAGAGTTTTCAGTAAGTTTTGAATGCAAAGCTGTATATATTGCAGATGTGCCTTGAAATCTTCAGCTAGCTAGTGTCAAATTAATATTAATGCTATAAATGGAGCGTTGAAAATTAAGACTGAACTGCTCAGTTTTCATTCACCACCTCCCCCACATATATTTGGATTTAAATAGGCAAACAAACAAGCTCACCAATGTTACTAGGCTCTTGAGTATTCAAAGTAGCAAAAAGCACTACTGTTACAACAGTAAGTAAAAATTGCAAGTCAAATATCTAGACCAAAAATATAACTAATAAAGGCTAATATAGCCAGAGTTATATGAAATCAAACTTCCCCCATGTAGTATGCAGGACAAAAAATATGAAGATATAGTGTGAACGTGTAAGCCTAATAATGTGTGTTAAGTATGTTAAAGCTACACTATCACCAGGGTTTCATTCAATCAGCCTAACACATCTTGACGGCTCCACAGCCTTGTCTTCACTAGGCTTTTAGAATGCATTAGCCAATATGTGCCAACACCGCTCCTTTATATCCTAGTCTAGACAAAGCCTAAACCAGCTTTAATTCATACCTTTTGTTATTTCAGTACAAGTGAGTGCATGGACACTTGTTTTGTAATAAACATGTCCTATTTTAATTATGCTTAAATTGGTAAAAATTGACAAATTAAATCAAAATAGGACATATCCCAAAATAAGAGTGTCTACACACAGATCTGCACTGAAACTACAACATGTATGAATTAAAACCAATTTAATTGTAATGGTGAACATTTGTGTTTAGACAAAGCTTTAGTTTGTTATGAATTCACCTTCTGCCTTTGAAAGCTTCTCCGTGTACTTTGGCCAAATCCTACAAATCTTGCATACAAACTTTTATCCTGGCTACTCTTTTCATTTTTTAGTTATAACATTTAATTGAGAGTCCTTAAAGCTCAAACAAATTTAAATAAATAGTAGCTTCAATGTTTCTCTGATCGGTTTTATTTATTAAATGTTTAGGAAGCGTTTCCCTTATCTCTTCAGTATGCTCTGCCCTACATAACCTGGGCTTTGCTTCTTGGAGTTAACTGCTATTCTCAGTTTGGCTACATGCTTTCAGGACTTGGATGCAACAAGATATTGTGTGGGGACAACTCTGCTTCCTCCTTCACCTGTTGTGGTTGCTGGCAGAAAAGTTTCCTGAGTACATTTAAGACCTAAAGGGGTTGAATACACATGGCTCAACATATAGCTACTCTGAATGAGAATCCAGGAGCCAGATATATAGCAGTGGGTGTGACATGGCAGTAGATCAATACGCTATTCTGACAAGAGCAGTCTACATGGTCAAGTGTATGAGAATGGCACTGAGGAATGCCTCCTTCCCTACCCCCCTCAATGCACGTGTGGGAGAGAGAGGGAGAGGAGTCAGCCCTGGGGACCCCAGTGGGGTAGGAAAAATGGAGCTCCGTCTTCCTAGGAATATTTTTAAGTACTAAACTCTGCAGCTCTATGGAAACTAGGGTCTAGTACAGGAGTGGGTGGGTGGGTGAAGTTCTGTGGCATGAGACGTCCAAGAGGTCAGACTAAATGATCATGATGGTCCCTTTTGGCTTTAATGTCTATGAGAATCCGGGAAAAGAGAAGGTAAATTCTGGGTCCCAGAAGGAACAGCTGAGACAGAAAACATGAAACTAGATGTAGGATCAAATGGCGAGGGGGGGGGAGGGGGGAGGAAGACGACAGACAGGACAAACCCGTTGGCTGAGACAGGCACGTTACAGTGTTTTAGGTAACTGTTAAACACTAATGTATTTGAACTTAGACCAGCTAGACAACAGTGCAGTGCTACTTGAAGCAATGCGCGTCTCAGAAGACAATTTGGAATTCAAAGGATTTGACATCTTCGTGTGAGTTGCACGAAGCATAAAGTATCAGTGAGTCAGTCTCAAAACCAGTGTACACAGGTTTATCAGGAAATAACACATTTTTCCCTTTTTAAAGGGAAACAAAAAATGCCTGGTAAAATACCAAAGTTGTAATGCATACTTTTAATATTTGGATCTGGTTTCTTAACTGATGTTATTGGTGAGGCACTGGGTACGTTGACAGGACCAGCTCTGCCTTGGGTTCTTGGGGATCCTGCAGGTCCTCTTGCAGGAGATTCCTTAGATAAAAACAGTCCAAATCCAAGTAAGTGAATTAACAGATTAATTTATAACCATCTATAAATACTGCACTACATACAAAGCTCCTACTTTTACCTTTTTTGATATTGTGATGTATATACACTTTTACCCTGAAAAATTATCAACTACAAGAACCAATCTTGGGAGAGTGCCTCTGCATGAATATACACGATAATTACCACAGCACATTCTAAATTCAACTCATCCCCAATTTCCAGATTATTTAATGCCATGTTTCCACAATTATTTGTTAAAACCATTCTGTCACATGACATCTGAATACCTAGAGACACTTTACAATTTCCGTGGCACTGGAAGATTTTTGTATTAGGTCATGATTGCATTTATGAACTGCACGCTATGCCCCACACAGATTAGAACCATGCACTATGAAGGAGGGCTCATTTTTGGTTGTTCAGAGAAGGCGCTCTAGTCTGTACCTTGTTTACAGACCAATGAATAGCTTCCTAGTCTAGGAAAAGCCACCCCCATTTCTTGAGAGGCTACTAGTGTATACTTACTGATGCTCTTGTAGGCGTGGCTGGCTGCTTGGCAAGTAAAGACTGCAAAGACAGTACAGTGATTTGTAAATATACCTCAGCAAAACTACACACTTTTCAAAATAAAAGCAGGGAAGCAGACTTTGGTTAAATTAACATATGGTCATTCTGTAACAACATTTAGATACATTTCCAAATTTTACCAATAGAGGGCACTACAATTAAAAGAACTAAGCACTGTGTGTTCAATACACAAGAGCTTCCTTATACACTTTCACTAAAGCATCTCAATCCTAACCTATAACGTTCCTTAGAGCTCAATTTAGAGCCTCTCAAGCACGTCCACTCAAACGCATACAACTGTAAGGCACTGGTATGTTCTCATTTCTTTACTGTATATAATTATTACTTAATACACAGCATGTCTGGAGGCTGGCTTTATTCACACCTTACACCTTGAAAGCTCATGCCAAAGTGTTTGCTTGTATATTAAAGCCTCTGATGAATGAGACATTTTAATTGGGAGGTTGGCTACTGCATTATTATTGATGTACAAAACAATTTCGCCTCATTTTTAGGGTTTACATATCTGTGTAGCAAATTTCAAACATTCTGCTATTACTTCTACTACTATGTTAATACCATTTATTTTCTTCTCCGCTGTATAAATTAGTATTCATTTGTACCTGTCTGGTATTTTCCCATCAAATGGGAAAATATGCTAATGTAATCCCAGCATGCCACACCCATTCACAGCCAAGCTTCTTAAGGTACACCTAATATTTTCAGTTATGGCAAACATCCAAAAAGGCCATAGGATTCCATTTTAGAAGACCCAGGCACACATTTTCCAACTTGATTGCCCAAAATTAGGCAACCATATCATACTTCGGCACCAAAAAGTGGCCTTATTTTTCAAGAGTGCTGAGTATCCCCAGCTCCTCCTGGCTTCTCAAAGGCACTCACCCTCAACTAACAGGTATTCCAAGTTTGAAAACGGTGGCCAGACTTTCTATTCATATGCAGGGAAGTAAAATAAAAATTGACATTTCTTAAGCACTCAAAGTTTTATAATTTCATTTTAATCTGCAAAATAGAATAATGGATACCCACTCAAAAATGAAATATTAAAAACAATGTACCTTGCCCTAAACTTCATATAACGCTGAAAAGTTCAAAGTGAAGCATTGTTTATTTAAGTAATCTTTCATTTCAAATAGTTTCATTTTCACATTCTTACCTGCTGCTTCATAAGAAACACTTGCTCATCTTCTGCTGCCAACTCTTTCTCATGGACTAACTGTTGAACAATGCATTTCTCTTTAGAAACAAAGTGGTCACCCAAACTATTACAATTACAGCAGCATATAAAAACAAAAGCCTAACTTCAACCCCTTTCAACTTCTTACATCCATTCCATGACTTGTGGCTTATTTCAGGTGCAGAATTACTACTAACTGGGCAGTAAGTTTGCTATGTCCTTCTGTCTGGCTTTCAAAAGGAGGGACACTTTTGCAGCAGTTACCCTTTAGGAAATGCAGGACCAAGATTATAGCATTTTTTTTAACAGTTAACAAGTGTAAAATAACAGTGACAGGATTTAATATTGATCCCATGTAAACTTCAAGACCAAACATGTATATGCATCCTTAATCCATGCTTTTGCTGGTTAAATAGGCACAGCTGTAGAAATGTTTTAAGTGGTTTTGTCCTTGCAAGAAAGGAGAGTATAGAACTAGCTCAGTGCTGTATTTACATGCAAATATTTGATCTTCCATCAAATACCATCAGCTTTTTAATATCTGAAGCAAACTATTTCATGCATATACCTAAACAGTGTAGCCAATTAGCGGCTTCACTGCTGAGCATCCCACCAGCACCTATGGTGCAGATGCATTTCACTAGAGTCCTGATGGGCAGTTGAACCCATCAGAACTGAACAGTCACTTGCCGAGTACATTAGACCACAATAAAGACATGCTGCTTTTATATTTTTAATAGATATCTCTACCACTTTAAGCAGCAATGAAACTACTTCCAGTAAAAGCTTTGGGTTCAGAATGACTGGCCTGGCATAGTTACAAAACAATATTTTCTGAGGACAATTCCCTGGATAATATGAGGAACTGGCAGGGGGCTGGATACATATTTGATAAATAATATTCATATTAAAATTTACTAAAACCATCAAAGGTTTGATGTTCAAAGAGGATGGTTGCCTGAACTTTGGAGGGCTGCCTCTCCCATCACTCCAACAACAGAGCAATAGATGCCCCCACCTAAAAAAAAAAAGAGTTGCCAGTGGTGTGCTATATCTTTAGCATCTTTAAGGGAAAACACTAGGCCCATTCCCCTCTCCTCCTTCCTCCCCGCAAGTGTCTTCAAATGTCCCCACTCTTCTTTTCTTTCCCAATTTACCAGGGTCTTAGATGGGACTGCAAACACGCAAGACAGGAAATAAAAAACCCTGGGGAGTTGTCAAATATGGACTGAAATAGCATTTAAGGGTTTTACATATTACTTACCCTACTCCAGCCCCATTAGAAAAGAATGCATTTTTCCTCTATCTGTAATAAGTTACCTGACCATGGTCCAGACAATTAGCAGTCTACAGAATATTTATTTGTACTCCTAGTTTGTGCTCCACATCTACTCTACAAAAAGAATTTTGTAGTACAGAATATATTTTGGTGATAATTTAAAACAAGTAAGAGAATAAATAGGGGCCCTTCTGTAGGACTCAAATTACGGACTCAATGTGATTTTTGCATGCGCATATCAGCTGAAGTTAGAATTTTAGGTAAAATTAATATTTTGGGGGCTGCGATTAATGTTAGTGTTAAAAAGTGTTGAAAAGTAACATGACACTAATGAAAAATACCTAGACCATCTCCTACATGACCCCACCCCTAACCCGGGACCTCCTCACATGACCCCTCCCCGTGTAACCCCTACCTGCTCCTAGCCCGGGACCCCCCCCACTCTCCCCATCCCATCCCTTCCCACCTTACCTGGGGCGGGCCAGGGGAGGATGTCTCTGGCCTGGCCGCAGCCTGCTCTGGCAGGCCGGGCTGGGCGGCTGCAGCCTGCCAGCCCCAAAGCTGCAGCTGCTTCGGAGGCTGGGGGGAGAGCAGCGTGGCCAGAAGAGGAGAGACTCTGGCCCTGCCTCTTCCCTTCTGGCTCTGCTGCCTCTCCCTGCCCCCTCTGTTGGGGGGGGGGAAGGGAGGGGACTGTGTCCCACCTTACCTGTTCATAAGCCGACCCCCTACTCTGATGCTTCCCTTTTTTACTAAAAAAATGTGGCTTATGAACAAGTATATACGGTAATTTTTTTGAGTTAATCGCGTGAGTTAACTGCGATTAATCGACAGCCCTATTAAGAACCTCTGCCCTAGACCACTGGAGAATGTATGCACCTACTTCAAAAGTGGTTTAACATTTAAAAGAAAAGCATATTACTTTACAAGCTGAAGTTCTATATTAATAGTCAATATCAACCATTCAATTATAGTGAAGTGATTTGTAGTTTCTTTACACTGAACTTCAAAAATTAACTCTTTTGTACCTTTCTTACTGGAGGTTTTACAATGAAGTCTTCATATGCATCTTCTGGTTTCACCGTTGTGAAGTTTTCATGTAAAATAGCAATTTTCTTTTCATTGTCCCAACCAGCAGGTCTATAGGGAAAAAAAGTTTTAGGGCAAGGTTTGTTTTATTAAACTCAAAAGATTGTTGGCACAGCACATGCACATTTAAGTAAGTAATCGTATTACCATACTACTGTACTTCCTCTGTAACAGTTTTATCATGTCATTAAGAGGTCATTGCACAGTCCTCACTCTGAAAACAGGCTATGCTTACCAAGATGTTGAGATGACATTATCATTCTGGGTAAATAGACCTATAGCCACTATGCTTTTTTAAGCTAATGTGGAACACAAGAATGTCAGATTATAATAAACCTAGGCACTGAGCACTAAAACAATGCAAGTACAATTTTTTTTTTTTCCTTAAAACCCAGAAAGTGCCTGCTGGAGAACCAGTCTAAATGATGTTTCCAACTTCCTTCCAGCATGCTGAATGTGGCTATTAGATATCAGATTCTTTACAAATTTACTTCATTCCAATAAGTTATAGTATGAAATGCTCCTACAATTAAACAACCCTTTCAATTAATTATCTTTAGCCCTGTTTACGTATGGAAAGTACATTTAAGTAAATGATGCAAATTATTCCTTTTTTGTGAAATATGGTTTTGGAAGGCAGACTTCTAACCAGATATGGAAGTATTTCACAGAACGAGACAATTATATTGGTGGGGGCGGGGGGGTGTGCGAGAGAGAGCGAGCGCTATTATGGAGCTAATGATGAATTGTTTATGTGGAAAGAATTTTTCATTCTACTTTAACAAATTTAAATTCCACACATTAGAACAGAATATTTCACATCCAAGTGGCGATTTTATTTTCTGTTGAAGAATTAAATGCACTAAAGCTTGGGGTGTACAAGTTTCACTTGTGTTCATAAGGAAATACAACATTTCAGTGATAAGGGCATCAGACAGAAACAAAAAGTTTGAAAAATATATTTCTTACATCAACTTACATAAAGACTGCATCCTTTTCTACCACTAAGGCAGGTGTGGTAAAGTGAAAACCATATGTTTTATGTACAATGTACTTATACAGCAAGTCAAGGTTCTTTTCTTCCTTAACTGATGTATAAATCAAGGCAGCTCCATCTAATTACTTCATTTAAGGAAAACTATAAATTACAGTACTTAAACATTAAATTAAACTGAAATAATATTTGAAGTTTTCTATTGAGTAATAGCCAAAATTTTCAGAGTAGGATGCTTAAAGTTAGGCACCTACTGGCTCAATTTTTAGAGGTCAATGGAAACTATAGGTGTTCAGCACCTTTGGGAGGGAGGGAAAAAGAGGATGAGAATCATGTCACTTAGGAAACAGATTTAGCTTTTAAAATGTTGACCAATATAGACACCAGAAAGCTGTTTTAAAAAAGTCACAGGGTGCAAGTTTAGTATGGAAATCCACGTTCTGGGAGAAAGAGTAATGTGATGCATCTCAAAACTGAAGTCCCTTGCCAAGGAATGTAACAGACCCTAGATCAAATGTATGGCTTCAGATAAAAAAAAAAAAAAAACTTGACAAACCTCTTAATATATTTTCATAACTACACTCCAAATACTATACATTAAGTTAGTAAATACCAGAAGTTATTTTGATATGCAGTTTCTCCTTAGGTTATTTTATTTCCCTCACACACTATAATAAAATACATTTCCTATCGTCCAGATTTTATTCTGCCACTATCCTCAGATTAGGAAAGGATACACTGTAAGCAGAATCTACGAACGTGTGACTGAATGAAGTCAAAGTGTTCTTCTCTGTAGTCATGTTCCTTCTCTAGTACACTCACTGCATCACACTGGAAAAAAAAAAAAAAAGCAAAGCCACTTAACACTTCCTTGCATATAACCTGCATTTTCTTCAAGCTTTTAGATATACAGTAGAATCTCAGAGTTCCGAACACCTTGGGAATGGAGGTTGTTCGTAACTCGTATCTTCAGCTTATCTGAACAAAACGTTATGGTTGTTCTTTCAAAAGTTTACAACTGAACATTAACTTAACACAGCTTTGAAATTTTACTATGCAGAAGAAAAATGTTGCTTTTAGCCCTCTTAATTTAAATGAAACAAGCACAGAAACAGTTTCCTTACCTTGTCTAATTTTTTTTTTTAAACTTTCCCTTTATATTTAGTAGTTTATGTTTAGCCCAGAATTGTACTGTATTTGTGTATGGGGGTTTTAATTTATTTATTTATTTGGTCTCAGCGCTGCCTGATTGCGTACTCGGTTCCAAATGAGGTGTGTGGTTGACTGGTCAGTTTGTAACTCTGGTGTTCGTAACTCTGAGGTTCTACTGTACACATCTTCCCTTGTATTAATCAGCATTCAATTCACGCTTTTTGTTGGGGAGACTGCACTAATTAACCAATGGGTAAAATGCTCACAAGGTACCAAAGACAAAAAGTGTCTCGTTAAAAGTTAAAGCCACATCAAATATCCATTCTTTATGACAGAAATTGAGTTGATGCCATAAATATGTATTTTTGAAATGCTATTTTCATTAAGTCACTAGTTGCTAAACACCTTCTCATGTGATAACCCAGGTAACTGTATGATGTACAAAGATAACTTGAAAGTACCCTTCTCAACTGACTTTTTTACATTAGAAATTCAGATCTCATCTACACTACCACCCATATACTATTTAAGGAAAGACTGAGATACTATGCAAGTGAAATCTGATGGGAAAAGAAAGCATTTATTTCAAATGCCTCAAAACACTGGGAGAAAAGTTTTTTTGATAAACATAACATCTTCTCTTTTTCAATTAAGGATGGAGAAAGTCCACGTTTTAGACCTCTAATATGTCTTTCATCCAAACTGAAAAGACAAGACTGGTCTTTCTCAATCCTTCTATGGTAAAAAGAAAAAATTAAAAATCTAACACACTTTTAAGTCTTGTTTATACACCAAAAAGGTTTTGGGTTTTTTTTTTTCTTCCCCAGGGGAAAGCACGAACGCAGTCCACCACTAGCACAAATTATGCAGTCGAGTTTCCCACATTTGGGGAAATCGCAGGAATCAGCACACCTGCAGTGCAAGGGATGAGCCTCACCCTGGGAAAGCCACCTTTGTGATCATGGTATCTCCCCTGCCAGGTAAGTTTATCTACTCTAAATCCAGAACTTTCACTTTCAGCTTGCAAACATCTGCATCAAAGTATCTTCCAAAAGGAAAAGTAACTAACCTTTCTAGTAAACTCAAGTTCAAGCTCACCTTTGTACAAACCACCAGCACAGGGATCCCAAGATTGTGAGTCAGCACATTCTCTCCAAGTGGCAAAGTAATATTTTCATCTTCTTGGCCAGATGATGAAGGACCTCTTCTCTGTGGTGATCCTTGGTAGCCTTCTTCAGGTTCCACATACTCCTGGAATTCCTTTATAACTATGAAAAAAGATCTTTGTAAGGTAAGAGACGGGAATACATTTTTAAAATTTGTATTAAAGTGAAATAGTTTCAGACAATTATATGTTTATGAGCAGCTGGGACATCTTCTCAACAACCTTTTTAAGGTAACGCATGAATTGAGAACAGAATTTGAGCTTCAAGAAATTGTACAATTTCTATTGAGCCAAATAAAAAAATAAGATTTTGGAATTTGGCTATTACTAGCTTTCAGCTTTTGAATCCAAAGCACATCTCTAATTTAAATATAAGGGCCAACACTTTCAGGAGTGTTTAGTGATTCTCGGTGCTTCAATTTTTGGGTACTCAACTAGACAAACTGTGGAAGTTTGATTTTCAGAAAGTGCTCAGCTTTTCAGATCCTCTGAAAATTAGGATCCTTTAGGATGTCTCAACTTAAATCTCAACTTTTCTAAGCATCAAACCTCTTAGTAATGAATGAAAGTTTGCAACCCCAGATTTACTTAATTTTATTTCTGTATCAAGCTATCAAATAGAAGCACTTAATGACAACCCTGCTAATGTAGCACTTCGCAAAAACAAGTTAGAGTATAAGGTTTTGTGGCTGTTCACTTTAAAAAGTTGGCATATATAACAAGGTCTCACCACTGACTGAAGTCAATGATAATATAATAATCCATCCATTACATCAGTGGTCCCCAAACTTTTTATGTTGCCCCTCCCCCACCCATAATGGAATCTGTCCAGGCCCCCTCAAGAGCCATGGTCGTGAGCAGGGCTGGGAGCCCCAGCTGCGGTTGCAGCCAGGAGTGGAGTCATGGCCGGGAGCAGGGCCAGAGCGGAGCGGGGCTGTGTGGTGCTCCCTCTCCACGCCCTGTCGGGGCTGGCCCGGGCCCTGCCGCACCCCCCTGAACCTCCGTGCCCTCCTAGGGGGATGTGCCCCACAGTTGGGGACCACTGCATTATATCATGATGGTACTCCTCTGAGCATGTACGGAAGCATGGTAATATAAAGAATGTAAGGAAAAGTATTACATGAAATTCTGTACGTTGGCTAATGTTTTATTAAAGGAAAGTGATATTGTTCCCCAGATTTTTAAAGCAGTGGTGCTTCCCATCTCTAGAGCAAGTAGTGCTATCACCACCAAACAGTGCACTATGCTGTTTTGGGGGATTAAAATCATGCAATATCAAATAAGCTTCCATGCCACGAAACAATCCAACAACTTGAAGTGAACTCTGAAATTATATTTATGGATAACTTGGACAATGTGAAGATACTGAACTCTATGTTTTGTATTTGCAGGGGGAGCCAATGGAAACATAAAAATAATCATAATCGCGACCGACAGAACCCAGCTCCACACTCGTGCTTAATCTAACTGGCCATTAGATTGACTCGAGCTACAACAGACTGGTAACTATGAACATCACTGGCAGGACTATATGTGTATGTGTGTGTGACTGAAAAGCATATGCTAACTGTTGTCTTTTCAATAAATGCTGCATATTTGCCTTCCTCTATAAAGATCCCGTGTGCTTTGTATGAGCATAACACCTGCCCCAAAGAGCTCACATAATCTAAGTATAAAACCAGAGACAACAGTTGGATACAGGAACTCAGAAAGCAAGCACAAGGAAACCAAGATAATGTGAGTCAGCATGACATGCTGTAGTCTTAGCATACTAGTGGACTAACCATTGTCAAGTATTTTGTAGGTATCATGGCAGTGAAAAGTTTGAAGGAGGTCAATGAAGTGGCTCTGTGAATGTTTATGGGGGAGGGAGCTCCCAAATATGAGGGGCAGCATGGAAGAAAGCACAAAGGTGCCCGTTTGAAAATTTCACAAGTGGGTGACAGAGGCTGCCATTATGGGCCCATCAGAGAAAGGAGCTGAACTTTTGATACTGAATGTGAGATGATAGGTAAGGTGGGGATAGGCAGGAAAGGCCTTGGCAGTGAAGACAAGCAGCTTATGTTTGATATAATAGAAAATGGGTAGCCAGTGGAGAGGGAAGACAAGGTTAAAACAACAGGCTAAAAGAGCAATCTTAGCAGCAGCATTCTGAATGGATACGAGTGGGGCAAGATTGCCTTTGTCAAGGCCAGAGAGAAGGATATTGTAGTAATTGAGGTCTGAGATAAGAGCCCGGATGAGAGTTTTTGCTGCCTGGACAGATAGGAAAAGCCATATCTTAGACGTTACGTAGAAAGAATCTGCAAGATTTTGGCCAGGTTTACACTTGGAAGCATGGACGCACCTTACATCAGCAATACTGAATCTACACTAGGTGCCATTGTCAGCATAGCTATGTAGGTCAGGGAATCACACTTCATCAAACCCCTGACCAGGACATCTGCTGCCAAAAGCACCTTGTGTGGACCTGACTTAAGACATAGGCTGGATGTGAGGATCTAAAGAGCTCCGAGTCAAAGATGATGGCCAGGTTACAAGCAGGATGGTGGTGTTGTCTACAGTGATCAAGAAAGAACCATCATAATGGGTCAGACTAATGGTCCATCTATCCCAGTAACCTGTCTTTCAACAGTGGCTGGTGCCAGATGCTTCAAAGAGAATGAACAGAACAGGGCAATTTATGAAGTGATCCATCCTCTGTCATCTAGTCTCAACTTCTGGCAGTCAGAGGTTTAGGGAAACCCAGAGCATGAGGCTGCATCCTTGACAAGACTGGCTAATAGCTACTAATGGACCTATCCTTCATGAACTTATCTAGTCATACTTTTGGACTTCACAACAGCCCCTGATAACGAGTTCCATGGGTTGACTGTGTTGTCTGAAGAAGTACTTTCTTTTTTTTAAACCTGTTAACTATTACTTTCATTGGGTGACCCCTGGTTCTTGTGTTATATGAAGAGGTAAACAACACTTCCATAGTCACTTTCTCCACATCATTCATGATTTTATAGATCTCTATCATATCCCCTCCTTAGTCATATTTTTTCTAAAATGAATACTCCTAGTCTTTTTAATCTCCACTCATATGGAAGCTGTTCCATTCTCCAGACAGTTTTGTTGCCCTTCTCTGTACTTTTTCCAGTAAGATTTTTTTAGATGGAATGACAAGAACTGCATACAGTATTTCCAGGTGTGGGCAGACCCTGTATTTATATAGTGGCATTATGATATTTTGTGTGTTATTATCGATCCCTTTCCTAACAGTTCCTAATATTCTGTTAGTTTTTTTGGCTGCCATTACACTTTGAGCAGATGTTTTCAGAAAACTATCCATAATGATTCCAAGATCCCTTTCTTGAGTGGTAACAGCTAATTTAGATCCCAACATTTTGTATGGATAGCTGGGGTTAAATTTTCCAATGTGGATTACTTTGCATTTATCAACACTGAATTTCACCTGCCTTTGTGTTGCCCCATCACCCAGTTTTGTGAGATCCCTCTGTAACTTGTCACAGTCAGCTTTGGACCTAACTAGCTTGAGTAATTTTGTATCATCTGCAGACTTTGCCAATTCACTCTTTATCCCTTTTTTCAGATCATTTATGAACATGCTGAACAGCACTGGTCCCAGTACAGATTCTTAGGGGACACCACTATTTACTTCTCTCCATTGTGAAAATGGACCATTTATTCCTACCCATTCTTTCCTATCTTTTAGCCCAGTGTTTCCCAAACTTGGGACGCCGCTTGTGTAGGGAAAGCCCCTGGCGGGCCGGGCCGGTTTGTTTACTTGCCGCGTCCGCAGGTCTGGCCGATCGCGGCTCCCAGTGGCCGCGGTTCGCTGCTCTGGGCCAATGGGAGCTGCTGGAAGCGGCGCAGGCTTAATTAAATCTTGTTTGCTGCCACTAGTGACCAGAAAGGGGTCTGATATCTTGTCATTTTCCACTACTCTGACCATCAACCCATTATGGAAGGACCAAATGACAGAAATAAACTTTGCAGGTCATCCAAAGATGAACAAAATGTTTCCAGAGTCCCTCATGATTTACAGAATCAAAAGGTTTAGCTAAATTGACTTATCATATAAAGAGCACGGTTTTACTCCTGGCACTTTTCCTGAAGCTGATGGAGTGGAGTGATGGTTGTTCATCATAGACTAGAGAAGATGTCATGTTTGTATCTTTCCTGGGTGTCACAGCAGCCCTATCTAGAGAGTGCTGTTTCTTCAAATGGAGAAGAGGATGGAAAAAGATCCCTAAAAATACTTGCTCCTCCCAAATCTTTTGTGCTAGCTGATTCAGGCTCATGGGGCGTAGGCTAAGGGGCTATTTAATTGGAGTGCAGACATTAAGGTTCAGGCTGGAGTCCGGGCTCTATGACACTGCAAGGTCTGAGCCTGAACATCTACACCGCCCCCTAGCCCAAGCCCCACAAGCCAGAGTCAGCTGGCACGGGCCAGGCACAGGTTTTTAATTGCAGCATAGACATACCCTCAGAATGCCATACCTAACTGGTCATCCAGCTTTTCTGAAATCTAAATATAATGAAGACCCAAATAAATTTTGCAACTTGGAATGTTTGCATGCTCTGACAGAGATGACAAAACTGAATGTAGAACTGCAACACTCAGAGTATTGGCACGGTACAATATGAATATTGAAGCACTCAGTGAGACATGACTTGCTGGTGAGTTGCAGCCAGAAGAAGAAGGTGCATCTTTTATTGGACTCGCATATCTGAGGATAAATGCAGATGCTTTGGTGTGGGGTTTGCCACTTTCTTTTTGATTGCTTGCAAACTTGATGCCCTGCCAAATGGTGTCAACGACAGACCCATGCTTCTCCACACTGGCCTTTGTGAAAGCTCATTATGCTTCTATCATCAACACATGCACTGAAAATGATTACTCCAGATGAGGATAAGGACTTCTATCAAACCCCTGATAGCATCATCACATCAGTCCCATGTAATAAGCTGACCACTTTAGGTGATTTCCATGCCAGGGTTGGTTGTGACTGCATCCTGGGGCGACGTGATAGGTTGTCATGTCTTGGTAACAAGAACTCTAATGGCTTGTTACTACTTTCCAAATGTACCAAGTACAACCTAGTCATCACTAGTGTTTCAACAGGCCAACAAGTATAAGACGACCTGGACGCGCCTTCATTCAAAATAGTTACGTTATTCTATGGCAAAGAGAGCTCCATGATGTCCCCATATCAATATTTCAAGCCTTGAAAACTATGACACTTAATTCCAACAAAAACTCATGGAAGCATTCCCCTCAGTGACAGAAGCCTCAGTGGATGTAGGGCTAGCCTGGAAACATTTTTGGGACTTGACATATAATATGGCTGCTGAAGTTCTTTGCTTTGTTTAAAGGGAACCATCAGGACTACTTTGATGAGAATGACCTTGAAATATGCCAATTCTTGATTGGACCGCATGCTACCCAACGAGCCTACGTAGTGGACAAGTTTCAGTAGCTATGAAGGCTGCAAATCACTGAGCAAAAGAGATGGTTCAGACCGACTTCAGCAAATGGAAATCCGGTAGTGGAGTGTGGCAGGGTACTGGCTGAGAAGCCTTTAATCAGCTCCTGCCACTCCAGCCCCAATCAAGGATGGGTGAGTAGCCCCATGCCTGCCTGGTAACTGGCTGCACCTGCCAGTCTTATTAGCCCAGAACTATAAAGGCTGTGAGAAAGCCAGAGAAGGGGGGAAGAGGGAAAGAGAAAGATCAGACACAGAAGGAAGTGGGAGCCTCCTAGTCTGTTGCTGGCCAGGCCTGTTGTAGGCAAAGTAGCTGTGAAGCCTATATATAGTTGGGAACTGGTGGTGGGAAACTTTCTGAGAATAAAAAGCTCGGGCGTTGCACCAGACTGAAGTGTCCCTGACTCACTGTAGAGGGAGGCTCAGGGGACGAATACCCAGGGGTGCAGTGTGAACCCTGTTACATGGCATTACAACTGGCAGCAGACTGCAAAGACAGCAAAAAGCCTTTTTGCTGTATATCAGTGGTTGTCAACCAGGGATCCGCGAGCCCTTTCAAGGGGTCCCTCGGGCCCCACAGCTGAAGTCCTGATCCCCAGCACCTCCAATGGGGCTGAAGCCGGGAGACGCAGGGCTGAAGTCTCGATCCCTAGTGCCCCCCACAGGGCTGAAGCCAGGAGGAAAAGGGCTGAAGCTCTGATCCTCAGCACCCCCTCGCGGGGCTGAAGCTGGGAGGCGTGGGTCTGAAGCTCGGATCCCCAGCACCCCCCCCGCGGGGCTGAAGCCCCATCCCCGACATCCACCATGGTGCTGAAGCTGGGAGGCATGGGGCTGAAGCCCTGATTCCCGGTGCACCCCGTGGAGCTGAAGCCTGGAGCCCACAGCCCTGGTGCTCCCTGTGAGCCAGAAGCCCTGAGCCCATGGGCAGAGTTGGGGACATGGAGGAATCCCCCCCCCCCAAACCTGCAGCACAAGATCACGGCAGTCTGAGGGGCATCACCACACCTTCCCCCCTTCCTCTCCCAAATCTCCACTCCTCCCCCCTTGTCCAGGTCAGAGGTGGGAAGCCAGAGCCTGACATTGTGGGACAGCTGCTGCTCTGGCTGGTGCCATGGAGCAGACAGCAGCAGCGTTCCTTCCACTCCTGCTGGTGCCCCAGGTTGAAGCTGCTCCTCAGCTCCCAGCCCCCTTTGCTACCGCAGATGCAACCGGTAAGAGTCCCCCGAGGTGGGGAGACCCGGCTCCGTGGCTGGCAGACCCCTCCGGGAACAGGGACCACAGGGGAGTCCTCCCAGCACATAATACCCATCTCCCTACATCCTGAGCTATGCTCTCCCTGCACCCTAAGCTACCCCCTGCCTGAACACAGCCTCTAGTACCCCTCTCCCTACACCCATAGCCACCCCCTGGGCACACAGCCCCAGCTACCCCCTCCCTGCAAGTTGAGCTACCCCCTGTCTGCACACAGCCCCTAGCTACCTCCTCCCAGCACCCTAAGCTGTTTTCAAACTTTTTGAGCTAAGCCCCCTACCTTTGAGTTATAACTTTTGGTTGCACCCCACCACCCAACCCAGATAGGCTGGGTGGCCTACTGAGGTTAGTCAGGGGGTGGAGGTGTGGACAGTACTTTGTCGGTGGGAGATGCTCTCCTGCTGACTAAGCTACCGCCCCTCGTTGGAGGTGGTTTTATTTTGTTGGCAGGAAAGTTCTCTTCTGCTGACAAAAAGCAGCTACACTGCATATCTTACAGCAGCACTACTGTAGTGGCACAGGTGTATTGCTGTAAGGTGTGCAGTAAAGACATAGCCTCAGTGTGGATTTAGGTCTGCACAGGGCATTCTAAACATGATCTTCACAGCCCGACAGCTTCAGAAAAAGTGTGTCCAAATAGCGCTTGATACAAATTGCAAGTAAAAACAATCACCTAGTAAAAAGTTAAGCTACATAATTGCTTAAATAAATATGCATGAATATAAATATCTTCCTGGTTAGCAAAAAGCAGCATCAAATTTAGTGTAAAGTCTATATTTAGTAGCAAATCAAATGTTTTAATGATTACCAACCAATGAGAATGAACTTTTCTTTAGAGGAATAAGTACAAATGCAAACATTATTAAAATTGATTATTTAAATTAAAGTTTCCTGCTTGCTGACTTAAATTATTATTAAAATCAGAGATTTAAATAGCTTTGATTTATCCACCCTCCTACCAAGACCATGAAGGTCACTAACATTTCTCCATAACAATCACCTTCTCAGAATCTGTTATAGTAAGGAGCAATACAAGCTTCTCATTCCAAGAAGCTTTGATATACAGATCCCAAAACAAGACCACTATGATCTTTCAAGATCCTCACACTGTACACTAACAACTTTGCTTCAGCTGTATCTAGACTCAAACTGACTTACCCTTCAGTTTACAGCTCAAAGGACAGAGAATGCATCCTTGGGCTACCTCAGCAAGTCTCTTAACCTTTGTGCTCTGCTTATGTTTCAGGGCTGCTCATTAAATAAAAATCTTGTGCTGGCACTAATTTATTTAGATGTTGGCAGGGGAGGATGACCTATGCAAGGGATCCAGTTCTCCTGACACCTAGTTTTATAACAGAATTATACAGCAGAACCCAGTTTATTCTGATCTAATTGGGACCAGGACCAGACCGGATAATTAAAAATCCAGATAAACCAGAGAATGTGACAATGCCATTCTGCAGAACTTTCTAGCAGTCACAGGGGAGATCACCTGCTTCTGACCCTGGAGTCCTGGTTGTCCAGTTAATGGAGAGTCAGATAAACAGGGTTCTACTGTACACCCAACAGTATTTTAAAAAGCACAGATTCAAACAGAAAAAATGTTTGGGGAAAAAAATTCAGTTAAACTAAAGAATCCGTTACAAAAAAGATCCTTTCCACCTTCCCTCCTCATTTCCAGGAATGTATCCTTAGCCTTCTCCAAAAACACTGCCAAGTGGCATTTAATGGAAAAGATAAGTTGTGGGTTTGAAGTGGTACAAATGAATCGATAACTTTTCTTTTGCTTTGAATGAGAGAGGTAGAACAAAATAGGCTCCCCACAATAGAGGGTACCACTATGATGGGCACATTAAAAATGCCTTTTATAGGTTTAACATTATCTCCTTAACATGGCCAGATCCATCCCCCACCTCACCACTAGCGTGCAACCTTCAGCTGGACAGCTCTGCGCTTGCAGAAATGGGGCGGCATGTAACCCCATGTACTCCCCCATGCCTCGCCTCTGTGTGTGTGTGGGCAATCCCCCGCAAAACCGCACACATCGTCGCCCCGCCCCCCCCCGGCCTCTTTGCTTCCCTGCCGTTTTCTGCTCTTTTAGTGCTCTTTCATGTAGCAAAGATGTAGCAAACAACCCTGACCAATTACAAAATGACATTCTAGAGTGACAAATACATTTAAAGAGTTCCTCTGAGGATATTAGCCATATGAATATACCCAGGAATGTAATTCTTTAGAAAGTACATTACAGGGAAACCACTAGCCTCAAAACGACAGTGTGTTTTAGTGTACCCTTCCTCTCAACACCACACTTAAGATTGTGGTTGTTTATAGCTTGCAAAATCCTATTAAAGCATTCTTTCACCTAGATCATAATCCAGAGTTTGACACTGGAATATACAACCATGGATACTCAACCCTAAAGGACAGGCAAGCAGAAGAGAATTAGAGAAAGTATATATTTGTGAGTATTGTATTTATGTACACACAGCTACATACAGAACAGTGAGTAGAGAGAGAAAAGCGTAAGTTTGTTCTGGTAGATTTTTTTTTAAAAAGCTTGATCATATTTAAAGTTGGCTGATTAAATACTGATTTCAATGAAAGCACGAAGGCTCAAATACAAGGCAACTTGAAATATTACATCCTTTACTCAAAGAGTGATTAACTCAACTAGTATTCTGATAGTGAATACAAGCAAAAGCTGGAGGAGTTCTTTAAAAGCTTGATTAAAAAGTCCATTCACTTAAAATCAGTGTTGCAGTCAAAACTTCAAAGTTTACATTTAGCCATCATCTGCTTTTAAGTACTATGCATTAGGAAAGTAGTACAGCAAGACACGGTTTAAACAAACTGTCATTAAGATGCAAAAAGCCATGTAAGAAAAATCATACTAGACTTACATTTTTGTTCCAGGTCTCTCATCTCTTCCGGGGGAATTTTCAGCTTATCAATGTGCTCACGTAAGACACTGGCCCATTTTTGTAGAGATTCCATAACAGTCCACGGTCTAGACATATCTGCCACAAAAACTACTAAGGTCTCTTGCAGGTTTTCTGCAGAAACAGCAAACTTCAAGAGCCCTTTATGATACAGGTCTCCATCTAGAATCCAAACATTACAGCGAGTCTGATCTGAAAAGGAAAAGGGGCAATTATACCTCAAACTAACGTGCCTTTTGCTACAGCCACATTAGCCCATCAGTAAGTAGCAAACCAACATGGTATTACAGTGACAAACTGAAGGTGAGTAGAAGCTAGCTACCAGCAAGTCTAGCCTGTTCGCATTTAACATAATGAGTACGTGTACCGCCCACCCTTAGGGAAAAAGAGCACCAACAAAGCAATTTGGCAGCGTTCCTGTAAAATGAGTTGTTGCTTTCTGTAAGAATCTTGGTTTTAACTTAGCAGCAAAGAGGTATGAACATCTGTATTCTCTTGCTTTTCCTAAGTACACATTTCATTTTTATAAAAGGATACTTTCTGCTTAGTGTATTACAATCATTCACTTAATATATTATACAGGACAGCTGAATTTGGCATATGTATTCATACTTGGACTCCAAGTATGTCATGAGATCATTACAGTTGTGCCTATAATTAAGGCTTCACTGTGTTAGGTGCTAGTATATTTAGCCAGAATCCTGCAAAGTATTGCAAGTCTAGCATGAGAGGTTAAAATACACATTTATAATAAATTTGAAAATGCAGATATCAAAGTAATCAGTTTATGAACAAGTCCAACTGGAATTGCAATATAATTTAACCCCTACTCCACCTGTACATCTAATCTTTTATGCAAACCAATATTCTGCCAAGATCACTGAAGTATCTAATATTAGCAATCATTGGTCTCCACTCTTGTAGCAAGATGCGTTCTCACATGATGCATACAAGTATTGTCATGAAAATTCGAACTTTCTACTGAAGATCTGTATGTATTGTAAATTCAGTAGATATTTTAAGTCTCACGCCCCCTTTTGCCCCTAATATAATCCACCTGCGCCTCCCCAGCAGTCGCAGACAGGAGCTGAGGCTGTGGGTGGGGCCAGAGCAGAGCTGGGAGTAGAGTGGCGCTCCCTCACCAACCGCTATGAGGGCTGGCTCAGGCCCCTCCGCATTCTCCCAAAACATTTCTCCACAACCCCTTAGGGGGGCATCCCCACAATTTGGTACCATTGTTCTAAGATGACTTCACAGTTTGTTTTTTAAAACTCAGTTGATGCAAGCTGCACTTTAAATAATCTAAAGTTTAGCAAATGTGACCATCCTCACATGGTTAAGCCAATGAGTCGCACACCTGAGACTTCATCAGGACACTTTAGAAAGATGAAGAGGATAAAAGACTGAGCACATGGAGAACATATACAGTTAAAAATATTACCACTTTTTTAAACTGTGACTTTAAAAATTAAGAACTCAGGAAACAGTCAAAAGTTGATTTACTGCTTGACTTTGGTTCAGTTAAGTTATCCAAGTACCATCAACCCAGAAAATAGGTCAACGGTTATGCTTTTAATTAGATTAAAGATGTCTCGTCTCCCATCTGTGCTTCCTAGTAGTATCCACTTACTTTAAATAGTTACTCATCACAGTAACTGTGGTTCTTAGGGAGATTTGTTGCTGCATATTCCCACTTGAGAGATATGCCTCCCCCAGAACCGATCACGCTTCTGGAACTTCTAGAAAGCAGTGCCCCTTGGGGCCACAGAAGTACTCTCACAGCACTGAATGTTTGGAGCTGAAATTATAGAAAGGCCAAGCAGTCCTACTGCCTCAGTTCCTTCTGTTAAACCCCAAAGTCTTATGAGAATACAGAGGGGAAGTCGGGCTGAGTAATGTTAAGCAACCATTTTCTATTTTTTAGAAGTATCATCTGCATTTCTAGTTGTGGAAGTCTAGCAAATGGTACAAGCTCCAGGAAGGTGCGCTGAGAATTTTTAATAAAAACATGAATTGCAAGATTACTTTTTGAAAGTTAAGATGACCAACTTGTTCTAGATACCAGTCGTGTGGTTTTGTATACATTCCGGTACACGCTTCCAGTTAGCAACCCCACAGAAACGTTTAAATCGATGTTGACTTAACTATGGTACCATGAGCTCTAAGACTCTAAATAATAAATCATGTCTCATTGCACAGCCTAATCCACTGAGCACATGCCTAAGAAAAAATGGCTTTATACTGATTCCAAATGGCTACACAGTCTTATTTATCTGCTAAATGCCATCCAAACAGCAGCTCAAAGCCATCTTAGCATCCAGTATATGGAGACTAGTTTACCTAAGTAAAATCAAGTTGCTGTGAAGAACACCAAGTCTAATTTGTGTCAAACTTGGACACCTTTTCAGTTTAATGAGAGATGAAGATGAAGGACAAAATTTGTTCTGTGTTCAGTGGGATGATCAGTAGTAAAGCTTGCAACTCATATTTCTTTCAGGTGTAACTACTTTATAAACAAGTAGTATAAAGAGCATTTTTGCCAGGGTTTGAATAGTGTGCCTATCAACTTTATCAACGTCATGGCAACATCCCACCAGTCAGAACCTATTCCATGATAGGAAGATGTTAACTAGATCTTTCAGGAAAGTTGTGACAATGAGATAACTGAATAAAGAATCAAACATTTAGCACATCATACACTGAGATGCAGACAGGTGCAACTTGTTAAGATAAAAGGAGGGCAAATGTATTTAGGGTAAATAAAAATAAAATGATGCACTGAGGCAGAATATGGAAACAGATTACAGGTAGTAGGATAACTGAGAAAACCATCTATGGTGAATTGTTACTCCAAGGGGGAAAAGGCTCACTCATTGCAGCTGAATCTCCTGCATTTACATGTGGCGTATCAGGTCAAAAGGTAGTCAATCACCCATAAAGTGAAGCAGCTCCAAAATGGGATGCAAGACAAGATCATCGTCCTGAGATGGCAGCTCCAATGACACCAACAGGAGCCTCCATTTCTGCTGTGATGAGAGGTATGTGTACTAACAGCATCTGTTTCATGCTGGAGCAACTAGCCCAACCAGCACACATCTGTGATACAATCTTGCCCAGAATTGCTCTGCAGTTAAGACTACTAATCTCTGTTACAAACAGCAATGTAACGATAGAAGAATGGTCCTATTTTAACCAAGTCTACCATGGTCAGAATCTGCTTATATTGCCCCTGCAGTGTGAAGCAGTCTGATAGCATGCTCTTTCTACATGTTATCTGTAGTGTAATACACTGTGCATCAATCCCACAAAGCCTTTGTCTCCTGCCGCTTGCTGATGTAATATTCTGCTGTCTTGTCCATTATCACTTAACAACGCTGCCCTTGATCAGTGTCAGAAAAGATTTTAAAAGCCACTTTATAAATAAATATGCTGTAACAGAGCTATATGGAGCTCATCTTCCACATGTTCCACTGATTACATCAGCTTTTGACAATGTGCTCCTCTACCTAGATGAGATGTATTGGTGGTGATTACACAGCCAGGGAAAAGAAACTAAAATGAACTCCATCACAATCCCTAGGAACTCTCACCATTAGAGGGTCTGGTAAACTTTCAAAGGAATACAAGGCTTCCAGGTCATTCACACTGAGTGAATTTTGCTGACAACGAATGTTCAGATGAGCTGAAGTGTCATGTATGTGGAAGAAGCGACATTAGCTTCAGGTACAAGCTCACTGACCTTGGAGGATCCTCTTGCTTGCCAAGTGTCCCTGAACCTCTTTTATGGAATAAATCCCTTGGCCTAGGTAGAGTAGGGGATAACACGCTATGAAGGAGATTCTTCAGGTAGAAATAAAGTAGTGGATTTGTTCTAATATGTCTGGAGACCTACAGATCAAAATAGTGTGCACGTAATGTTGAACGACTAATATCTGGCAATAACTGGCCTGAACTGGCCAGTTATCCAAGAAAAGGACTACATGAATAACTTGGCACCCAAGAGAGATTCAGTCACTCCCAAGAATTGGGCAGAAATCTCTGATGTGGTAGAAAGGACAAAGATAAGAACAACAACTTCAAGGTAAGTCTCTAGGGCCTAACAATCTATAGCTATTCTACTTGAAGTTGCAAGAAAATGAACTAAATGCTCAAATGGGATTTTGGAGGGAGGGAAGAGGAAAGCAAAGGGTGAAAGAAGGAAAGTAAGAGTTTATCTGGCTTTGGACTCATGAGCAATCAAGTTTATCATCTTGCTTCTAAAGGCTAAATTAGGTAGGGAGGGAAGACAAGCCAGTTCTCTGCCCAACGTATTTTGCTTTTTCCTCCCAAGATTAAGACTCTTCTGGACCCAAGTCTGGAAACATGAAGATACCAGATAATGGTCTCTAGAACCAAAGAAAGATGCAAAGGCCATTCTCTTCTTGCTTCAATGAAAGAGTTCCAAGGACCGAATGCTGACCTGGTGCCCTTCATTTGTTGCAAATAAACTTAATAATACAGTCAAATAAACCTCAAAGAGTACGGTAATTCATTTTTTAAAAAATCTTTTACTTCCATGTTTCTTGTTGGTCTTGAGGAATCCTTTCTTTTGACACAGGCCTGAGTCCCTGATAAAAGGCAGATGACCTGACTCAGACGTACCATCTTAGAAAAGATATTGATGCTACTGTATAAGTCAAAGTCTGAAACACCGTAAGCTGCTCATTGGATGTTACTCAACACTGCATTCTTCTCACTCCCCAGTTCCTTTGCTCTCTTTTTCTGCTCCTCAGAAAGGTGGACGACTAAAAAGGATGGATCTCCAAAGAGGAAAGTGGTACTTTGCCAGTTACCCAGGTCTATAAGAGAGACTGAGGAGGGAGCAATCCCTTCCTGCTAGTTGAAAGTACTGTTGCAGATCCCAAATTCCTTCCCTCTGCCTCTGAAGGAGGCAAGCGGTCAGGAATAATTGAATAGGCAATACTGCAGATGTTAGTATCCATTTGGGTGGCAGAGGAGAGGCAGATGGGTAAGTTGCAGCAGGTTTTATGTCTGATTAATTATCTCCAGACCCCCAGGCGTAAGGAGGACCACCTCTGCCAGCAAGACCACATAGCCTATGGGTCAAATATAGTATGACAGCCTGAAGACGACTTTAGCTGTCTCTGGATTCAAGGAGTATGACTCATAAGGCATCTTTGGCAAGGAAAGTACCAAGTCTCTGCTGACTATCGATATGAGCATGAGGTGTGTCACTCCTACACACAAGCAGCAATGTGGCCAATGCACTTCTCCTAAGGTCCTCTATTTTCAGGGGCACAGAAGAGCAACACCATTATCACTTTCATCTAGAGAGCTCAAAGCATTTACAAACAATGGTTGATATCAATATTCTCACTTTACAGATAAGGACACTGAGGAACAGAGAGGTAAAGTGACTTGTGCAAGATCAAACAGCAGGTCTGTGGCACAACACCAAGCTCTCCTGACTTTCAGACCAGTGCTCTACTTCCTGGACCATGCTGACTCTTAGTTAACTTGTCTTTTGCCTCCAGTGTGCTGGAGAACAGTTGCAATGAAACCAGCAACAAGTTTTGGGAAGTGGGAGAGGAGCAAAAGAAGAAAGACAAGCCCCAGTTTGGAGAAAAGGAAATATTGGTTCTGTCAGTGGCTTAAGATCTCCTTTTCACTCACCTAACCATGCTTACTGGAATTTCTCCATTATGTAGACGATGGCAACAACCTAACCAAAGACAAGATACAGAAGACTGTAACCTACATATAACTTAGTTTAAAAAGTTTTGGCTACAATAAGAAGTTATGAAATCCATATTTAAGTTCCTGGTTGCTCTTGGATGTGTTAAGAATCCTTCCTGTAGCTCAAGACTTGGTATGCACCTTTATTTGAGTGTAGGCAGGATGAATAATGTACTAGTACATCAACATCAGCAAAATGTTATCCTGCAAGTAAATGGATCCTCTGAGAACAAGTTGTTCTAATGTATTTTTCCTTAAAGAGCCCAGACTGTGAGAAGGGCAGAGAAAGAAACAATACTCTACGTGTGAAATGCATTTTTCTTTCATGAGCCATATCAATTTCTTACAACGTATACAACAAGGGCATGCTGAAACAGCTACTTCACTGTAATCCAAAGATACACTAGGGACACCCATAATGATTATGAAAATGTGTCAACTACTCAATTTCAGCAAAAGACTACATGTGAAAGCATGTAACTTACCATCTCTGTCTTCATCATGAATATTTAGGTACAAATATTCCAATCCTCTTCCTTTCTTGCTGTGCTCTGCTCCTTGTACTTTAGTCATAAGTGTTGTTTTACCTGAACCATCATCACCTGCCAATAAGTTTGTACAGCAAAAAGATACATTCAGAAGTGTATTCGTTACTGGAAAGATTTTCTAAGCTAACTTAAGAGGTTACAATTTTTTGTAAAGGGGGTCTTGTGTTTCCCCATTCCTCAAGTTTTGGGGCTAAATTTGTCAATGTGTAGGTTGACAAGTGAGAAGAGCAGCGGCACTGTTCAAAAACATATTCCATTAGTTTGAATAGAGAGTCTAACAGCATGAGGCTAGACAGTTCACTAGTCTGGGGACAGGGACATCACATAGTACCTCATGAATTTAAAGTAAGTTTATCTAAGGCTAGGTCTACACTACCCGCCTGAATCGGTGGGTAGAAATCGACCTCTCGGGGATCGAATTATCGCGTCTCGTCGGGACGCGACAATCGATCCCCGAATCGACGCTCTTACTCCACCAGCGGAGGTGGGAGTAAGCACCGTCGACGGGAAGCCGCGGAGGTCGATTTTGCCACCGTCCTTACAGCGGGGTAAGTCGGCTGCGATACGTCGAATTCAGCTACGCTATTCGCGTAGCTGAATTTGCGGATCTTAAATCGACCCCCCCCCCGTAGTGAAGACCTGCCCTATATCTTAACATCAATTGATATATCTGATATTCCACCTCTTAATTCCCAGTATAAGCAGAGCCAGTTCCAGAGCAACTTTTCAAGTTCCACCCAACCTGGGGATCCCATACTTACTACATCTCTGCTGCCTGAAAGAAGAGATAAAATATATGCAAAAAGAACAGGAGTACTTGTGGCACCTTAGAGACTAACAAATTTATGATCACCCATGATGGGCCAATTCTACTCCAACAAAATGGCCTTGTCTACCCATTTAAAGTTATTTTAAAAACACATTAAGTTAAACCAGTGCAAATGCAGATCTATATTTGCCCTGCTATATTGGGTTAGCTTGCACGTATACATTTACCAATGCAAGCTAAACTGATATAAGCCAGGTTTAAAGTCAAATTAAGTGCATCAACTCATGGTTTTGTCCATACAAAGTTTTGAACCAATTCTGTTAAATCATTTAACTCCGCCTCTCTCCCCCTCCCCACCAAAAAAACCCCTGTTCTGTGTGTGAACCATGCTCTATTATTTCTAAGAAATCAACCCTCTCCACTGCTTGAAGATACTACTCACCAAAAACAAGAATGTTTTTGCCTGATGGTAATTTAGACCTGGACCGGGTGGAAACTTCACTCAGTATTGAGGACCTATGGGGACAGGACCACTTGTTAGTTTGCCAGTGGGGCACCCAAAAAGAAAGATCAGGTAAATGTCAGCTCCAAAGCCCTTATTAGCAGATACTTAAACAGACCTGTCAAATGTCATCCATTCAGAAAAGATATCTACCAGCTATGAAATCTCTAAATAAAAATATTCAAGACAGATACCTTGCTCAGATAATCTGAAAGGCAGCTATCAGAGCTGCTCACTTTTATGACAAAGAATGTTGCAGTGCCTCAATGACACATTTAACAGCAAATCGTTTTTTACAAACTTGAACCTCTAATGAAGAGGCCTGCTAATTGTAAGAAGACCTAAAGCTAGGACTGCTGACTGCCTGACTGGTACTAACCTATGGTGAAGGCCTTACTCTGTTGCCTTTAACACCAGGAGATGAAATCAGACACATCCCTTGGTGGTGAAAGCGTAAGGGCTGGGAGACCACAGAGCATCCCCAGCTCTGCCATGATTTCCTATGTGACTACACGCAAGTCATTCTCTACACCCCATGTCCCCACCCAGGAAGTGCAGAAGCGCTGTGGCCAGGGCTGCCGAGGGGCTTCAGTCCCTGAAATCCCTAGGGCGCAGGGAGAGACCCCCGAGGGGGGCCAGGCCAAAGCGGGTCCGAGCCCACGCGCGGCGCCCACATATCCAATCCCTCCTCCCACCCACCCGGGCAGCGCAGGCCCCGCCACTGCGCCCCAGCTCTGCTTCCAAGCCGCGGGTCAGCTCCGGCTGGGAGTCCGCGGCAGGGGTGCTGGGGGCCCAAGCTGCCTTAGTCATCGGGAGCAGGCAGGCAGCTGGGCCCTACAGCCGCGCCCGGCCCCCTCCTGACACGGCAGGGCCGCGGCCACCCCGCCACCCCGCTCCCCCGGGCGTCCGGGAGGGGACCCAGCCCCAGCCCGCCCCGACCCACTGCGGGAACCGCAGCCCCGCCCGACCCTCGGGAGCAGCCGAGGCCAGTCCCCGGCCCAGCTCACCACAGGTTCTGCCCTTCCTCCTCCTCGCTGGGGATCTCGGCGGCGCCGGCCGCCTCCGGCCCCAGCAACTTCTTCTCCACCGGCGCCATCTTGCCAACAGCAGCCACGGCCACCACAAAGAGTGACCTCACCCGGGCCCGCCTGACGGGGCTGTCCCGCCGCCGCCTCCCACCCGGGAGACACCGCGCCCGCTCCCCGCGCACACCCTCAGCACTGCAGCCCGACAGAGTCCTCAAGGCGGGGCCTGTGGGGGGCCCGCCCCCGGACCGCGCGCCGCTTCGGTCAGGCAGCCACGCGGGCAGCTATGAGTTCAGCGGCTGGGAGGAGCCGCCGCCTAGTGTCCCAGGGAGCAGCGCCCCCTAGCGTCCGCAGGGCTCTCAGACAACTGGATGCCAGTCCGAAAACAAAGCAGTGGAATTCTGAGACATCCATCTTTATCTCTTTTTACTGTGCGCCTTACCACGGATTCTGTGATGTTGCTAAGGACGTGGGAAATTAGTGGTTCTTAGGCTTTTCCTTGCCCCAGTTATCTTTGTCCCAAGGGGAAAAGAGAGCATCGCCCAGAAAGTGCTGTGCCATCCCTGCTTTGGAGCAGTATTGTGGACACTTCTGGTAAGCGGCAAACAGATCTGTGGAAGGTGTTCCCCATTGTGAGAACAAGTTGTGAAGTACTGTCAGGTGCATCTCCCACTCATGGTTGTGTGGGAATTTGAAACTGAGCTTGTCCACTATCGAGTTCTGTGTGCCCGGGAGGTAAGCCGCAGACAAGGTGACATTTTGAGAGATGCACCAGTCCATAGCTTCATCTCTTCTGCACATAAGGAGGGCGTCCTGGCCCCTCCTTGGAGGTTGATGTAGTACATGGAGGCTATGTTGCCTGTTATGATCTTTATCTGTGATCCTGCTATCAGTGGAAGGAAATGAGTGCAGGCATTCCTGACCATTCAATTTGAGATTGATGTGTAGCGATATCTCCACAGGTGACCATTTGCCTTGTGTTGTGAGTCCGTTTAAATGCGTGCCCCATCCTATGAGCGATGCATGGGTGGTAAGGAGTGATGATGGTGACACCTGCAAGAAGGGAATCCCTTTGCATGCTATGGCTGGGTTCTTCCACCAATCCAGGGAGTTTTTGACCTGTATCAGCAGTACGGGGAGGTGTGGGTGCCAGATTGTGGTCTCGGTGCCGGCAGTGCCGAGGCTATCAAGAGAGATGGTGATCGCTTTCAGCTATCTCTGGGCTCACTGAGGGGACTTCCCACTCTCATTTTTGACCTGTGAGAGGAGTCCCCATACCATTTCTTTGACCCACTATCCTACAAAGTTGAAGGTTGAGGGGGGAGACTCACACCTGCCGAAGGACTGGGGTAGGAGAGCTACCTCCATAAAGATAATTTTTTGTCGAAGCTCTCTGTCCTTGCAGGGTCTTTGGCAGAGATGCTGGCAGAGGGAGCATTTCTGCTGGATGTGGTCCTCACCAAGGCAGCAGATGCAGTGATAGTGCTTGTCTGTGACCAGGATCACCTCATTACAAGTGCAACACTTCCTGAAGCCCGAAGAGCTGAGCATACTCTTGTCTGGGGGTTCCCCTCCCACTGGGAGTTGACAAAAGTCCTTTCTTCTTCTTTTTTTCCCCCTGGCAATGGCCAAATAAACAGTAAAATGGGGGAAAGAAACAAAAGAGGCTTCAAAGGAAGCTAAAAATTAGCAATTGTAAAAGAGTTAACAATCCGCAAATGGACAGCTAAATCTCTGTCTCTAGCCAGGGGTGGTTGAGAAGGAACTGAAGTCTATTAGCCCACACGCGTGGGCTAGCCTCCTGGTATAGCAGAAGGAGAGACTGCGCATGTGCGGGCCCAATGGACACTGCTACCGAAGTTCTCTGATCAGCAGCGTAGGGACTCCAACACATCTACAGTGGAGCACCCACTTCAAGTAGTGTCCTTGAAGAAGAACATTGGTGTGGCCAGCAATAATACTATTACTGTGAATGTGGGAGGAGAAAGGAGGTTTATATATAAATTCCTGGGCCATAGTTACCAAGAGAGAGGTGCGAGCAGGAATATTGTCCACACCTTTGCTTACTGGTCATGGCCACAGCCATGGTTCTTCTTCTGGAGGGGTAAGGGTGGGGTACCAGGAACTAAAAGACCAATATGTAGGTATATGAGGCTTCAAACAGTATCCTGGAGGAAGCGTACAAAACAGGCACTTGATGGTAACAGTTTCTGTGTTATCCTATTGGCAGTTGGTGAGATATTGATTTCAGGGTGGGATAGAGACTAGAAGGAGGCCATAGTGTGTGATATCCCATACACTGCAGGAGTTTTGTGAGAAATGTCTAAGAACCTTTTTCAATCCAGTCACTTGAAGTCTTGATGAGAGCATCATCACTGCAGTACTATATAAATGTATCCTTTCTCCTCTCTGAGAGATTAAGCAGTTTGACTTAATAGAGACAAGAAAATAGAATAACTTTCTCATAGAAATTTAAAAAAGTAAACAAGGAAACTAAATCATGCCAAGCCAATCAAATTTCCTTCTTTGATGGGGTTACGGGCCTAGTAGATGGGGGGGAAGGAGTAGACACGATATATCTTTATTTTAGTAAGGCTTTTGACACAAACCTACATGACATTCTCATAAGCAAACAAGATAAATGTCGTCTAGATTAATTTCTATAAGATGGATGCACAATCTGTTGAACGACTATAAGAGCAATTATCAATGGTTCAGTACGAAACTGGAGTCCCACAGGAGTGAGTCCTGCATCCAGTACTATTCAATATTTTCATTAATGGCTTGGATAATAGAGTGGAGAGTATGATTATAAAATTTATAGATGGGAGAGATTGTATGCACTTTGGAGAACGGGAGTAGAATTCAAAATGGCCTTGACAAATTGGAGAATTGGTCAGAGTTCAACAAGATGACATTCAATGAAGACATGCAAAGTATTTCACTTAGGAAGGAAAAATCAAATGCACAATTGTAAATGGGCAATAACTGGCTAGACAGTAGTACTTGCTGAAAAGAATCTGGAGGTTATAGTGGATCACAAATTGAATGAGTTATCAATGTAATGCAATTGCAAAAAGGATAATATTCTGGTGTATATGAACAGGAGTGTTGTACGTAAGACACAGGAGGTAATTGTCTACTCAGCACTGGTGAGGCCTCAGTTGGCATACTGTGTCCAATTCTGGATGCCAAGCATATCATTATAACAAGTGGAAGAATGGGGTTTTCCTTCTATTACAGGAAAACACTTTCAGTTTATTTGCATGTTAGGTACAAGTTGTGTGATCATGGTTATAAATTATTTCATACTGTAATTTTAAACCTATGAAATGTACATGATGTTTTGAAACACTGGAGTAGGGAGAAGAGGAACTATGGTCTTGGTGCTTAATGAAAAAATTAAAAACAATTTACTTGATTTAAACTAGATGTACAACTCATTTACTCATCTTCCCAAATAGCCCCACTGAAGAGGACACCATTGTCCTTGGATCAAATTAGTGGCAAAGTTTATAATTTAATATTATGTTAGTGAAGTAATGTTAGTCTCTAGTCACTTCAAGACTTTAAATCTCACTAATGTAATTCCCATTTCTATGTGTGAGAAGAAGAGAGGGATGTTTAAATATTTGTCTTCTTCAGCCATTAGTCTGCATTAGAAGCGTGTTATTATTGTGATCCCTTGACAGTGTAATTCTTTCCCCTCTTCATATATACTAATTGTAGCCTAATCAATTCTCATATAACAGATTAGGTTTCTCCACTCGCAGTTTATTTGGGTAGGGTTCAATCTTTAATAGAAAGAAGCCTGAGAAGAGTCTCCTTAAAAAGGGCCAAATTCTGTCCTCATGTGTATGCCACTCCCAGTGACTAACTGTGTCTCTGATCGGCCCTGATCTAAGTGCTTAAGCTTACTAGCATGAGCAAGGATGCTGGAACAATTTGTGTAGTGGGGATGCTGAGAGCCATTGAACCAAACTGTGAACCCTGTGTATGACGGAAACCACTTCAAGCCAGGGGGTGCAGCAGTACCCCAGCACCTCTGAGCTTGAGTAGCATCACTGAGCGGAGTATTAATAGTAGTAAAGTTAAGCATCTTCATAAGTGTATGCAAGACCTGGGTCTTTGAGGGTATGTCTCTCAAAGAACACCTTTTGTAAGCTTTTGAAGAAAGATGCTTATGATGCATCGATTCAGCTGATACAAAGCAGTTACTGTATATTATACAGAGCTAAAAACACAACAGCTACAAATGTTAAAATACCTATTGAGGATTTTTGAAAGACTTTTTGCAGCAGAAAACCAAATGTAATTTTCAGTTACAGAATTACTTTTTTCCGCCTGTCATGATGTGTTAGTGCAGTATTAAGAAAACTGCACACCAAATAAAGAGAAACCTGTGTTAACTAACTACAGAATATTAACATTATTTGCATGTTAAAATTAATGATATCAGAGCATCTACATAATTTGAACCAGAAAATAAAAATGAAATATTAAACTTATCAATGAAAAATGAGGTTACTAATACTTTCAAAGCATTCTATAAATATGACATAATCAGAGCAAATAGTGGGTCTACTCAGATTTCTGAATGTCATATGGTAATCTGTTCAATTGTAAGCAGAAGTCAAATTTGATAGTAGTTGCATTCTAATAATTTAGTGTAACATTTAACTAATTTGACATGGTACTCTGGACAGCTCCCCAGCCAATGCTAACAAACAAGGACTATTACAGCTGAACTCACCAGGGACACACCTAATCTTCTGTACAAAAAGTTCTGACCTTCTCTTAGGCTCTCTATGTAGAACAATTGAAACAATATATTAATTGTACTAATTGACTTCAATTTTGCTAATTATCAGTATAAGACTTTCTCAGCAGTCACTGTAAACGTTTATACACTTAGTAGTGCCCATTTATATGGTTAGTCTTTTGTGGCATAAATTTAAACAGCTCTGAAATAGGACTCTTGTATGTAACAAAAGATACGTTACAAAGCTTGTCTAACCCACAATCCTATCTCTTTCTCTAAACCTCCCATCTGTTGTTTCTAGTCTCTGTAGAGCGTGGAACTCTGCTACATTTGTTGCTCTGACTTCCCGGCAGCTTATTTTTTTTTTACATGCAATGATTTTATTAGCTTCTGTAATTTTCAAAAAAGTTTTTCCTTGAGTATTTAGACTAGTTTTTCACACTGCTAAAAGTTTCCATTGACTTCATCAATTCCTTCAATACACAGAACCTTATACACATTAAAGTTTACATACATCATTTGGAATTAAAGCATAAATTAGTTGGGGATCTGGTGTCACTATTCATAATTTTGCAGCAAAAATGCATCTACAGTAGAACCTCAGAGTTATGGAGACCTTGGGAATGGAGGTTGTCTGTAACTCTGAAATGTTCTGTAACTCTGAAGAAGAGGTTACGGACTTCAGCCACATGGGGGCTTGGGGCTGCAGTCGCAGGGTAGGTGGGGGGTCAGGGCTCTGGGTGGGGGGCGAGGCGGAGTAGGGGCTTCTAACCCTTAGGGTGCCAGGGCTCCAGGCAAGGGACACAGGGGCTCAGCGCTTTAGACCTGGGGGAGTGCTGGGGCTCGGGGCTTCAGTCCCACAGCTCTGCTCCGAGTTTCAGTACCGTGGGGGGCGCCAGAGCTCAGGGCTCCCCACGGCTCCACTTCTGGCTTCAGGGGGGAGGGCGTGCCAGGGCTTGGGGCTTTAGCTACGGGGGAAGCGCTGGGGCTGAAACTGGTGCTCCCCTCGCAGCTAAAACCCCGAGCCCTGGCACCCCCCACGGGGCTGAAGCCAGGAACAGAACCACATGGCTGCTGAAGCCCAGAGCCCCAGCACTCCCCCCCACAGTCTAAAGCCCTGAGCCCCGGTGATCTGAGGGCCTTCCCCCCCGCCCGGAGTCCTAATCCCCCCCACCTTGCGGCTGCAGCCCCCAAGCTCCCGTGGCTGAAGCCCTGAGCTTCGGGGCTAAAGTCCCGAGGCAGTACAGTATTTGCTTTTTTTTCTTTTTTTTTGGTCTGCGCTGCTGCCTGATTGAGGACTTCTGATTTCACATGGCGTCTGGTTGAGCGGTAAGTCCATAACTCTAGTGTTCATATCTTTGAAGTTCTACCAGGGGCGTAGCCACGGGTGGGCCGTGGCCCATCCACTTAGCATCCAGGCCCACCCAAATCTGAGCGTCACTTGGGCACGTGAAATCCAGGACTGAGCTATGTGCACACCCTTCCGAAAGCTATGCTCCGGCAGCTCTGCCTTGCCATTTTCTGAGCCGCCCCATATGCATGCCCAACTCAGCAGGTGAAGCTCTGTGTCTGGGGGCACTGGGGCCAGGAAGAGGGCCTGGTGTTGGGGGAGAAGCTGAGCTAGCACAGTCTGTTTTTGCCCACCCACCCGAAAGTTGGGGCCCTGCATTCTACTGTATTAACAAATTTGTCATTGTTAAGGAATACACCATTTTATGGCTGTGAAGGGGTTGACTCACTGTTAGCACCTCCTTGTGGCCAGGCTTAACATACAGCTCTCTTCCCATTGGGTACTTCCTGCTGATGGTTGCCCACCCCACCTCTGTTGTGGTCTGCATCTTCCTGTGACTCGACCCTCCGGCCAGGTCACTTTAAAGTCTCTTCCTTTCCAGGGTAATCCATGAACAAAAAGAAGGGGGAATTAATGCAAATAAACAGAGCTCATAGGAAATGGAAGGGAATTATTCCCTCTCAAGGTGCATCAGAATCTGGCTCTCCTTTCTCTCAGGAAAGGGCCATTGCTGAGCACTCATCTGAGGAGCTCCTACCTTCAGTCAGCCCTTTCCTCAGGAGTTGAGGGTCTGTTCTCTTACTGGTTGTGCCAACAGGTATGCTTCTTTGCTTCTCTTTTAAGCTCCTCCTCTATGCATGTGCATGTATTGCAGGTGTGGTATGAAGCTGCCTGAGGCCAGAGCAGCTCTTTAGTCCCTTGTTGTCCAGAGTGGGGTTTGTATACCCCATCACAATAGCCTGCTGTTCTTGGCCTGCCTGAAGTCTTGTAGTGCATTATATAAGATCACAACAAGCGTGGCTGCTTAAGTCTAACACTAAATTATTTACTCTTATTGATTTGTGACATCTTACATGTGACTCAGAACAATATTACAGAAAAGGACAGATTCTCCTGTTACATGAGTAACTTAATTGACGTCAGTGGAGTTACTGTTCCAGAACCTCTGCTGGTGTAAATGAGCATAGCATAATGGATCATTGTATTTACAAAGTTAAAGAATTTAGACTCAACACACACAATTAGGTTAGTGATAACAGTCATGTTAGTGGGCATATAGAAAGTAGATTAAACTGGGACAGGCATACATGTAGCAAGAGTTTCTTTTGAGTCAATTTAAAATATTGGCCTAAAAGTCCCCCAGGGAAGCGGACTACTCACAGTGCACCAAGTGTATGTAATTCTTTGCAGGATTGTGGGCAGAAATTGAAGTTGCTAAATGGGACATTAGGTAACTGTCACACTCTCTTTGGGGTTCTCAACATTGAGGATGGCATTTGAAAATAAACTGTCATACATTGTAGGTACTGTTTTATATCTAACTACTTGATTTTATGTATGTTATGACAAGTTCTATCAAAATACTACTACAGAGAAGGTAAATTTATTTTCCTATGGAAACACAATGTATTGTTAGATGTATTATCTGCTGTTCAGCTGTGGTATACAATGGCTTTATTCATGTGCAGTTCTAGCTCTATCATCAGATTTTATGACAGAGTGAATGAAATACAAGATACACTTCAACCCACATGTCACATCTTGGTATTAAAAACCTCATCCTTTTTTAAACAGCTAGATAAATGTGGATCCTATTCATTCTTCTTTCTTGTTCAGATGATCAAAGAATTAGTATTAGTTACTGAGGGTATGTCTACACTGAATTAGACACCCACAACTGGCCTATACCAGTTGACAGGGCTCATGCTGAAAGGCCTTTTAATGGAGGTTTAGACATTCAGACTTGGGCAGGAGCCTGGGTTCAAGTCTCTGTGAGGTGATAGGGTCTGAGCTCAGGCTGCAGCCTGAGCCTGAACATCTACATTGTAATTAAACAGCCTCTTAGCTCAAGTCAGCTGCAGATGTCTAATTGCAGTGCAGATATACCCAAACTGACTCACCAGCTGATGCACCACCTTGTGGCTTGGTGCAGTGTTATAGGGCTTTTACTTAATGTAGCCCCACTGGCTGGCCATTCAGGTCTGCTGCTATCCCACCTGGTTTTGTGACTCAGCACTCCAGCCAGGTTGTGTTTAGTCTTACCACTTTCAGGGAAAACCAGAGTTCAACTCAACAGTACTGCCATGACTCTACATCAGGTCATCAGCCCAGATCCAAGCTCAGTAATCCTTCTGATCCTTTTATCAGGGGTCTTCATGCTAGCCTCCGTGGTGAGGCTGTACAGGAACCCAGTCCCTCCCTCCACCCTGGATTCCAAGCTCAGGGAGGCTGTAACAAGGGGTTGTTTGATCAGATCGCTTGCTTCTTCTGTGGACTGCTTCCTATGTCAGCCTGCCTTATCAGGGGGTTTGCATTGTTGTCAGGGATCTGCTCTAGGGCTAGGCCTCTAGTCCCAATTTCCAAGGTGACAAAGGAATGAAAACTAAATTAACAGAAATAAAAACTAGCCCTAGCCCTTCTGTCCTTCGAGGGTCTTTCAACCACTGTATTACTGCTCCACATTTGCAGGAAACCTAAGATAGCTTGGCTCTCTGGTTTGCTTATTTCTGGGAGTTGAGAGTGAGACATCAGTCCAACCTCCCAGGGCTGGGGCCTTCTAATCAGGGCTTCTCCTGGCATTCCCAACACTATTACTACCGTGTCTAAAGGGCATACAAGAACACTAGCTTAAAGTACCCACTGCTCTTCAGAGTAAAGGAAGAATGGCTACTAACACAAAAAAATGGAAATTAAATGAACATCCAAAACAGAATTAGTTTGATAGTAAGCTCCTAAAGACAGGGCCCATAACTGAGCTTTATAAAGGACTGCATATAAGTAATGTTCTAAAAATAAAAATGGCTACATCCTGCTTTCCTATTCATTCTGGTATAGGTGTACATGGTAATTGGGCTCCTTCAACTTTAGCAGCTTTCAATATTAGTTCTATATACACACACAGCAGGGTAGTTTGTGACACAGGCACCAAATTTCCTTGGCACTGGTGGGTGCTCGCGCCCCCCGCCTCCGGCCCCGCCCCCACCCCATCTCCACCTCCTCCCTGCCCCTATTAGATCCCTCCCCAAATCCCCGCCCCGGCCCCGCCTCTTCTCCATGTGTGCCACATTCCTCCTCCTCCCCCTCCCTCCCACCGCTTGCCGCGTGAAACAACTGTTTTGCAGCGCAAGTGCTGGGAGGGACGGGGGAGACGCAGGACTCGGCGACGCACTCAGGGAAGGAGGCGGAGGTGAGCTGGGGTGGGGGGGAAGGGTGGGGAGCTGCCGGTGGGTGCAGAGCACCCACTAATTTTTCCCCGTGGGTGCTCCAGCCCCAGAGCACACACGGAGTCGGTGCCTATGGTTTGTGATAAAAATCACACTTAAAGCATTTTAAATAAACTTGAGCATTTCAGAGTACTAAGCCCAAGTGCAATAACATCTGTAAGTGTGGTATAAAATAGAGAAAAAAGGTAGAAATGGCTATATCTTAAAGATAATGATGTGCTCTTGTTCCATCTCAGGGACAGTGGAATAGAAAAAAGAGCAAGAAAATAAAAACGGAGCCAACAAAAATATTTTAAAATGTATCAGTATGTGGTATAAAATATCAATTTAGCAATGTTAAACTTTTGTACAAAAATGAAAGAGGATAAAATGATTTGTAATATAGTTTTAGCAAGTGAGATATTTAAAGCAAGTACAAATATTCCAGTTAAGCACTGGAAGGTCAAGTTAAATATTGCATGCAAATAGTTTTGTTCTGGGTTTTTTTGGGGATGTGCCTCTGTAGTAAAGTTAAAGCATTTTCATTTTACTGGTATACATTTTATTTAATGAATGTACATTAGCATTCTGAAAATACCTATCAAAATACATTTCACTTAAGTCTACATCAGAGCCTAGCCCTATACAAATCACAATAAAAAAATCTGAAGTGAAATATGTACAGTGCATATTAACAGTACCTAACTCATTTATACTATAATTCTGTCCTTTAAACTTCCAAATTCTTTAGCAGAATATAAAATACTTTAGAAAGATGTTACAGATCTTCTTTATTTTCATTCCTCTGTAAAATTAGAAAAAAAATAGTAAATGTCAAGACAAACTGGTATTTTCACACACTAAATTGTGATATAAGATCTAGTACACATTATAGAACAGGGTTAAGAGGAAGAATACCTGATAGTTGTTCAAAACATGCTACAAATATTAGCTAATCAATTATAACCCTTCATACCCTGCGTAAGGGGTAAATAAAAATCATCTTCATTTTACAGATAGAGAAAACTGATATACACAAAGAGAAACTTGCCCCAGGCCAAACAAGTCATTGTCAGAGAGAAATTAGAACTCAGGAATTCCTGGCTTCCAGTCCCTAGTCAATATGTTGGACTATCCTAGGGATCTTGTGTGAGATTATCACTTATTCTGGCCCTTGTATTCTGAGTAATGGGGCTGGAATGATGCTAAGGAGCTCTAAAAGTCCTAGATGTAGTTCTCTCCCAGCACAGGACTTGAAGAAGACAGTCACAGCGAGCAACTAGGGCTGTCTTACGGCATGGCTTCACTTGCAGATGTAGAGCACTTTGAATTAAACCAACCTTCGTAGAGCGCAGTAGGGAAAGTGCTGCAATCTATCCACACTGACAGCTGCAAGCGCACTGGCGTAGCCACAAAGAGCAGTGCATTGTGGTAGCTATCCCAGCATGCAAGTGGCTGCAACGTGCTTTTCAAATGAGGGGGGTGTGGTGGAGTGTGATAGGGAGTGTGTTGTGTGTATGTGGGGGGGAGAGAGAGTGGGTTTTTGGGGGGGGCTGAGAGCATGTCAACAGGCTGTCTTGTAAGACAGCAGCAGACCCCCCTCTCCCACTCGCCTCTCTCTCTCTCACACACAGCATTCCACAGTAATGGTTGCTTTGTCTCGGAGCAGATAAGCATGCCAGCTGTCAGAAACGGAGCTTTCAAAGGGCATATCGGCATGCCTGCAGTGATTCCAAAACAATGACAAGAGTGGCCACTTGACTTAAGGGGATTATGGGACTTTCTGGAGGCTGATCAGAGCGCAGTAATGCAACACCTCGTTCACACTAACGCCCGGGCGTTTCAGCCAATGTGCACCAAGTGTTAATCTTCTCGCCGAGGTGGAGTACCAGGAGCACTCTAGCCCTGGAGTCAGAGTGCTCTACGTGCCTTGCCAGTGTGGATGGGTAGTGAGCTAGGGCGCCCAGGGCTGCTTTAATGCACTCTAACTTGCAAGTGTAGCCAAGCCCTCAGTTACAAATGGGAGCAGCCAGAACTGGGGGGCCACAAAAGGTGGCTTACAGTCACTTTAGCCCTTTTGCCCCCTGGGCTGCAACTTCTGTGACGTGCCTCAAAGGCACAGCACAAAATCTCTCACTTTTCTCATTTCACAGCAAAACTGAAAATGCAATTAGAGGTTACAATTCAAATCAGTTTTTAACTTTAGCATAAAGAGACTATCAGAAAATTAAATTTTCCTTACATGTATCTGTAACTTGTGGTATTTTTTAGCAAGATCAACGTTTGTCCGTCCTTTCTGAAATGGGTAGGACCACAAAATTGAATTCCAGTGATGGCCCATTTTCCTAACGCCACTCAAAAGATAGTTTACTTCTTCTGTTGTAAAATCTTTCCGGATTCTTCGTTTACTCTTTTTTAAAGCTCTTGCATGTGTGTCCAATGAAAGACTTTCAGTGCTCTGTAAGTATTGATTTTGACTTATTTAAAAATTATGTAAAAGTACATAGCATTGAAGTGGAAAAAATCATTTAAGTCATTAAGAATACCATTTAACAGAATTATTAAATGTTAGTTCTTATATTATAGAGGTCTACAGAATAACAGAAGGAGAGGTTACTTATCCTGTACAATAACTGTGCCGCATGCACTTTTGAGCAGAGATTTGGTAGCTGCACCTAGTCTGCACATACCCCCTAACTATTCTTGTGCCCCGTACCAAGGATCAGGGCCAGCACCAGCGAAGGAAGGGGCGGCACGTCCGGGTCTTCGGTAGCAATTCGGCGGCGGGACCCTCAGTCCCTCTCTTCCTCTTTGAGCTGCCGCCAAAGAGGAAGAGAGGGAGCGAAGGACCCATTGCCGAATTGCCGCCGAAGAAGGAAGCAGCGCAATTGAGCTGCCGCCGAAGTGCTGCCGATCGGCTTTATCTTTTTTTTTTTTTTTCCACTTCGCCGCTTGGGGCGGCAAAAAAGCTGGAGCCAGCCCTGCCAAGGATATATAGGGCAGTGTTGGGTGAACCACCCTCAGTTCCTTCTCTACCACAAAGTCCCTTCAAGACAAGACTCTGATGCAGGGGTCGGCAATGTTTGGCACGCGGCTCGCCAGGGTAAGCACCCTGGCGGGCCGGGCCAGTTTATTTACCTGCTGACGAGGCAGGTTCGGCCGATCGCGGCCCCGGGCCAATGGGGGTGGCGAGAAGCTGCGGCCAGTACATCGCTCGCCTGCGCTGCTTCCCGCCGCCCCCATTGGCCCGGGACGGCGAACCGCGGCCAGTGGGGGCCGCAATCGGCTGAACCTGCCGCGTCAGCAGGTAAATAAACTGGCCCAACCCGCCAGGGTGCTTACCCTGGCAAGCCGCGTGCCAAACGTTGCCGACCCCTGCTCTGATGCAAAGGAAAAGGAGGACGGATAGTGGAGCATCCACAGGGATATTACTCAAAGAATTCCACTTACTGTATACGGTAAGCAATCTCTCCTTCAAGTTATGTCCCTATGGGTGACTTCAGCTGATTCCTAAGCAGTACTCCCTGAAGGAGGTGGAAGCTTCAGAACCTGGTCTAAGAAGGTCTGCAGAACTGCAGTACAAAGATAGCATCTGTCCTGGAGGCATGCAGTAAGGCATAGTGTTTTGAGAAGGTGTGAATCAAAGCCTCAGTGGCAGCTTTGCATATTTTTGTAATGGGCACAATCTTCAACATGGAAATGGAAGTAGATTGAGATCTGGTCGTATGGGCTATAATCCTAGGAACAGGGTGATTAGCAGCCTCATAAGAGAGGATACAACTAAAGTCTTTGCGTGGAAACAGATATCCCTTTAACTCTGGCAGCAAAAGAGACAAAACAGTCTGGGTGGGGTCCTAAGGGTTTGGTCCTGTCCAGATAAAAGGCCAACACACTCCTAATGGCTAAGGTGTGGAGGGCAGCTTCCGTCATAGATTGCACAGAAATTGCTAAATTAGCCCAATATCGTGATTTTTCCAATAAAGGGGAGATGGAAGTGAGAATCTGAACCTGGTCTCATGTTTGGTGAGGCTCATAGCCCTCCTGAACTGCTGCCTTGACAGCAGAATAGTCAATGCGTGTGCAGTGTCTCTCAGAGACCTTACCTCCTTAGGCTCTGAGATTTACTGCCTATTAATGAAACCAGAGGCGGTGGCGGAAACTATGGCAGGGAGACGATTTCTGAAGAGCCCTGTCCCATCCTCCCTCCTCTGACCACATTTACCTGCCTAGCGTGCCCCCTCACTGGGGGAGCACCCAAGTTCCAGCTGCCCCATCTTGACTCAACCATCTGTCAGCCCCAGCCCCCCACTCTGTGGCCACAGGGACCAGGTACTGGGCAGAAGGGGAGACCCATGGGTGGTTAAAGGAGAGTGAAGGGCTGAAAAAAAATTAGTACTAAATACATAGGTGGGTGTAACTGCACTGACAATCAATGGAGATGCACCTGTTTACACTAGGGTTCAACTTGGTCATTCATCCTGGTGCTGGGTTCCTGTTACAAGTGACTACACTAATAACAATAAAGACATTTTTAAAAAACACACAGGTATTGACTTTATTTGGATTTTTATGCAAATATGTGAGGGTATTATCTGGCCTCATAACTCACCTCATCTTCATCAAATGAATATTTATTTTTCTCATTCAAGCCTTGATATTCTGTGTTGTGTGTCTCTTTGACTGTTTGTTTCCTCAAGCGTGTGTCTTGGTTTGTTTGGAGAGCTGTGGAGTTATGAACAAGGCCATCTGTTTGTTAATTTAAACTAATTGAAATCTAAGATAGAACTGAACGTGGTAATGTAAAGCAGCCGTTCTTCTAACAAAAGTTAAAGTGTGAAAGTTACTTATTTTATAAATTCTAATACTCAAATAATATAAAAGTATCTTTTCTCCAGCATTAAGGTTACATCAACGTCACTGATGCATTAAATATACAAGGGGTTATATCTTAGATGCAGTAGAAGTAACTAACCAACAGATGACAGAAGACCATGCTCACAAGTCAACATCTGTATTTATTAAAGTTGGAAGATAATAGTATATATCATTTTAAATTCTCATACCTTGATCTCCAGTGATGAGCATAGATTTGTGAAGCACAGCCAGTTGCAATGCCCTCAACCAGAGACAGAGTAAAATTGATTTTACAACTTCCTGAATTCTGTGATTAATTTTATGGCAATACTCACTTTTTGTGTATGTAGGCATTAAGTTATATTTTTCTCGGAAATTAATATTTTTGTTGAAGTTGTCATCTATATTTGAAATACTACTTTGGGTTTTCTTCATAGGAGTCAAACGAATACCTTTTAAAACACAACAAACAAGGTAATGATTTAGGAACCAAAATTCAAGGGAAGACCCTCTTCCCAGCTATATTATTAATTTAGCTGCGCTGGACTAGAAGAATGTGCCAGGCAGGAAACCTTTGCCTTCCAGATGCCATGTCATATCAATCTAAAGGGGTTGATGACTTGAAAATAGTCAGTAATTTGGAAAAGGTTATGCTGGCAAAATCTCTCTGGGAAAAAATAACCAATTTTGGAATCTGGAGAATAAATGAACCAATTAACTAGTAACTTGGTATCAGCAATTTGTTAATTTGGACACTAATATAAACCCAAGATTTTCAAAAGTAAGAGCCTAAAGTTAGGTTCTTAAGTAAGTGGCCTGATTTTCAAAAGCACTGAGCACTAATTGACTTCAATGGGTACTTCTGCATGCTCAGTAAATTTGAAAATCAGGATGCTTATTTAGGAGCCTAAATATGGATTTTGGAACATAACTTTGGGCTATTTTTAAACTATGGTCATTAATAATACAAAACAGTGTCAGTCACTAGCACTGTATGGATATGGTTGGTGCTGTGCCTAAGATACCACAATCACTTCATTTTAAGTGAGAATCCCTCGTGAATTATCTTAAAAGTAGAAATAAGAGTTCTCATATTTTATGGGGTAAACTGACACACTGATCCACACCCATTAGACTGAAATTTATTATAGAGAGATTATGAACTAAGTTTAGAGGCTGAGATATGGGCTGGGAGTTTCAATCCAATTCTTAGTGCAGATTAGGGCTGTCGATTAATCGCAGTTAACTCATGTGATCAACAAAAAAAATTAATCGTGATTAATCATAGTTTTAATCATACTGTTAACAATAAGAATACCCATTAATAAATTTCAAATATTTTGGATGTTTTTCTACATTTTCATATATATAGATTTCAATTACAACACAGAACACAGAGTGTATATTATTTTTTATTACAAATATTTGCATTATAAAAAAGATAAAGAAAAGAAATAGTATTTTTCAATCCACCTCATACAAGTACTGTAGTGCAATCTCTTTGGCATGAAAATGCAACTTACAAATGTAGGGTTTTTTGTTACATAGCTGCACTCAAAAACAAAACAATGTAAAACTTCAGAGCCTACAACTCCACTCAGTCCTACTTTTTGTCAGGGCCGGCTCTAGGATTTTTGCCGCCCAAAGCAAAAACAATTTTGGCCTCCCCCACCCCCGTTCTTTAATTACCCTACCTCCGGCCCCGCCTCAACTCCGCCCCTTCCCCAAATCCCCAGCCCTGCCTCCTCCCCCCAGGCTCTCAAGCCTAGGAGGGGGAGA